GATCACACATTCTGACACAGCAGAGACAAACATCTAAACTGGAGCCTTCTCCTTTTGAGCAAAAAGATCTATGGCTGCTCCCCTGACTCTCCTTTCTTTGCATTTTTTCAAATCCCACAGAGGCATGCAAAATCAGTGTATGGTGTCAACTTATCACAAAGGCATACAGCATACAAGATAACTGCCAAAACCGGCCTCTTCTGGTGTATATTTGTTGTTTGTGTTGAGATGGGTGAAGAATTTATTAAATGCCATGTTTTTAACCCTCCTCACAATGCAAAAAAAAAAAATGCAAATAAAGGTTCTCCTGGTGTGGCAAGGTTTGGTTGATGGCGGGAAAAATGAAGTATTTTCAGGTTGAATGTACCCTCACGCTAGGCATATCGTTCTGTCGGTTCCTATTTAGCAGTGAAGCGCTCCTCAAAATGACAGGTAACACGAGGGAGACCAAACTGCAGGTGTGTAAACTTTTATGTCAGGAAAGACTCGTCCTGTTCTGCTAAAACTCATACATCGAGATGATTTCACAACAGTTTTCAGTTTACATTTTAGAGTGTTGGATTACCAGCAGCAGCTATCTGCTTTTTTAAAATAATAATAATAATAATAACAATTTAAAAAAAAACCCACGAAATGCCTAGCACTTTATTAAAACAGCTTTGTCTTTTTCTTCCTGAGATGACATTCTTAGGGAGGATAAGAGCATATTCAAGTTGTGTCATCACCTGAAAGCAAAATATACCTCAGAACAGAGATGTCTCACTGCCGTAGGACATCATAGACACATACAGAACATATCAGCTTAGGCCCTAACACCTTACAGTTCCTTCCTTTCATGTCTAGGACCTAAAATATAACTGTGTGTTACGTTTATGTTATGTTAGTTTTTTGTTTTTTTTTTGTAAATATTAGAGATAGCAAAATTTAACTTCATAGCTTATTAGTATGCAGCTGATGAAACTGGAACAACTGGTCAGAGAAAAAAAAAAGCCAACGTTGCTGGTTTTTATTTATTTATTATTTTTTTTTTTATTATTATTATTTCATTTTATAAGCTACTGTGGACAAACTACATTGTACAGACCTGTGACTTTAAAAGGCTCCAAAGCTGCAATTTGGTGCTAACAGTCGTGGATCCAGTTAGTTCACAGTCATGTTCACTCTAGATTTTTATTATCCTCATAAATCTTCTGTTAGTTGTTGAGGAAAATCAACCCACCTTGTGAAGAAAAAGTAAAAAAAAAAAAAAAAGGAAATATATTTTTAAATTGTCTTTAACGGAATGTTTTTCCCCCCTTGTAGAGTAAAGAAAAATGCAGGGATTTCAGCAGCCAAAATCTTCATCATTTTCATCTTTTGTTCCTTTGGATTTACCTTCTGTGTATCTTATAGGACAGGAATAAGGTAGGAGACAGTATTGTCCATTACTTGGGAATATTATCAGGCCAATTTTGATCAAAAGCACAAATAAAAATCCCGAATCGTCCACATAGTCGTCTTTTTAGGCTGGCAACCCTTTCTGTTGAACACAACTCAGGGAAGCAGCCTGGATCTCAGTCCTGACCCTTCCACAAAGGTATGGAACATCCATCCAAGCTTAAAACATGTCATAAACATAACACATACTTACACGTAGACCAAAACAACAAGAAAAAAAAAACAACAACAATGAAAAAAGGTTGTAAACATTCACTTTTTTCCTTGTTTGTTTCATGATTGTTCCATGTTTTCTTCCTAATTTATGGGATTTTTGAAGAAAAAAAGTGGTTTGTGTGCACTAATATTGTCTCAATAAAGTGAAACCTCTGTGACGCTTGCTTTTTTTTTTTTTTTCCCCATTTTCCTTTGTCGTGGGCCAAACTTTCCTATCTGGGGTCAAACATCGCCCTGCCAGAGGGTTTGGCGTGGTGACCGGAGGGAGGGCTGGAGAAAGGGCAGCTTTTATTTTGATCTCTCGTGTCGGGTGATCGCTGTGGCTCCACACCGTGATGTTGTTTGGTATCTATATGATCAAAACTATCAAAAAGCTGTGAAATTTGTTCATGTCGACATTGGTAACACGCGGGGACAGTGAGCGTGGCCGACAACATCCCGAACACTTCGCTAGGTGAACTGTAACATTCCCCCGTCTTGTCTTTGACTCTGCATTAAAGCTTGTATTTGTACATCTTGTACATCAGTGAAGATCCCAGGCATAAATAGCCATCGACAGGAAAGAAACACTTGTTTGTCTCACGCAGATCCTGTTGTGCGATAATTAATTTATATCATGACAGAACACATCTCGTCAGCATTACCCTGGTAGCTCCAATAGTGCAATTAGATTGTCTAACTCTGATTTTTTTAGGGTGAAAGCTGAATCATAAACTGTTTTCAGTTATGCCTGATCTTTATTGATCAGCTGGCATAATGAAGAGGACAGCTGCTGAAGAAATACAGTAAATAAGACAAATGTCAGAAGTAAAGTCTGTGGACGACCTGGAACGAGCTTGTATAACTGGGTGGGAAGATGTGAACTACTGTTTGAAAAGGTTACTATTACTTTTCCAATTCTATCCTTAAGAACTCTTTGCTCATGAAAATAAAAAAGGGAAATTAGATTTTTGTCTGAACAAAAATGTAAATGCCAAAAACAGTAACCTTTTTCTTTGTGTAGGTCAGTATGGTTAACACTAATAAGAGTACATAGCAAAGAATGTTTTGGCAAAGAATCGTATCTAAACGTTTTAAAGGAAGTTTTAGTTGATGCAAAGATTTCCAGCATACTGTTATTTGCAAGATCTCGACTACATTTGAGCTTATGTGACATACTGCAGCTCTCTGCTCATGAGACATAAACTATTTACTAGGGAGTTCAAGATTGCTAAGATGGAAAATATGACCGCAGTTGCATAAAAAGTGTCTTAGCAAATGTCATTGACCTTTTTTCTTTTTGTTTCTGGCACAAGATTGTTATTCACAAATGCCCCAAATCATGTAAATACAGATCCTGCTCTTTTTTTTTTTTTTTTTTTTTTTTTTTATTAAAAATAAAGAGTCATTATTCAAACCAATGGGTATGTGCTCTTTTGCTTCTTATTACATGTTTACAGATGCCATTTCATGCCTCGGAAAATGTTTTTTTTGTTTTTGTTTTTGGGGGGGGGGTTATTTTGTTACATTTGGACATTTCAGACCATCAAAAAATATCAAATAAAGGTAACCTAAATATGAACACAATTTTCAAAAGTTGTCAATTATGAAGAAAAACGTAACCTTGGTGTTTGGTTAAAAAAAAAAAAAAAACCTGAAGCGTAACCTGAATGCGCTTGAGCTGAAGGTCACAAACCGAAGTATATGCTCCTTCTATATTTACTAGTAGGGAGCTGAATTCATGGATCCATCAGGTTGTGATGAGTCACGACAAGCAGACTGTGAAATCCCCACCATCCTATTTGGCCGCAGCTGTGATGTTATTTTGTGAGGATGTACAGAGAGGCACAGGCTCCAAAGAGTTTCATTTCAGTCCACAGATTAAGTTCCCAAAAGTTATCAAGAGGTTTTACTTCTCTCTCCCTCCACCCCCATAATTTGTGTGATTTGTTGGTTTTCCTTTTTGATAAAAGATAAAAGTTGAACTCTTCTTGTATTTGAGTTCACTCAAACACAAACTGTTTCTAGAAACAGGTATTCTAACCACAAATTTTAAACAACCAAAATCTTAAAATGTTTGCCATTCCTTCCTTGTTTTCAATCTCTTTATGCATAATAGTAATTTCTACTTTTAAATTTCATATATAGAGAGAGGAAAAGTAAAACAAATCTTAACAAAATAATGGTGACTCAGGGAAGTACAAGATGTTTTCACATTTTAATTGCTGAAGTATCATAGAGGAAGTGATATTTTCCATCACAAATAAATCATAGACTACATCATACCATTCACTTGTATTTATAATTTCATGTTTAAGTCAAGGGTTTTTTGGGGGATTTTTTTTTTTTTTTTTGCTCTTCCAAATACAGTTCATAATGCTGTAAAAATCTACTGCCAGATAGTAATTATTTTTGGTCAAGTCCAGAATAAATTATACTGATTGGCTTCCTGGAGAAAACACAACCTTCCACCAGCTGGAAAGATCCCATTTGGTGGCTTTGCTGAATCAGTGTAATATAATATCTAATGAAACATTTCCTCCGTAATACTCTCCGCAAGTTGGAATACATTATTCTCCCCTAAAATCCATCGTTTCTTCCAGGTCTCTTCTGGAAGCCGGGTGTTGAAATCCCTGTGCCATGTTTCGTTTTATGTAAATGGTTTTCACTCCTTTCAATCTCAGAAAGTCTTCGATCGAGTCTCGAGGTCGCCTACGTTTGGATTCTGTCGTGTGAGCGCTAATTAATACTTCTGATAGATTGTTTCCAAATGCCTTTTTGACTTTGTGATGCCTTGGGATAGACGTTAAAGCCGTCTGCTATAATTACTGTCCACGTTCATAAAATCCAGATCCTCACAGCAGCATTTCAGAACCTTTACCTTCTCTGTCATAGCGTAGATTGATGTCACTTTGTCACTTCGTTCCTCATTCGTTCTTGAATTTTTCTTAGATTCTAGCATAATGTGTCGCTTAATGACGTCTCGTATCACACTTTTAAGAGATCTCTTGGTAGTTCCTGTCAGACAGTAACTGGACCTGGATGAGGCGACTGAAACTGATCCCGCAAAGTGCTAAACACAGACTGTGATGTAATTGTGATGTAAGTTGATGTAGTTGTGATGTAAGAAAGGTTTCACACCTGGAAATGTTACTTTGGATCATTTTTGTTTTCTTAATAAGAAATCAAATATTTAATAACAGATTTTTGTATTTACTGGGGTTGTTTTTTTCTAATATTAATGTTTTTTTTAATGACCTTAAACATTTAAGCATCGCCAAAGTAAAAAGAAGCAAAAACAAGAAAGAAAGACATCTTTCTTCACAGAACTGTACGTACAATATAATTGCACATGAAATAACAAATGATAACTGCATGAATAATTTTATTTGTTAGCTGTTCATCTGTTCTCTATGTCCTCATGTGAATGAATGGTGAGGCTAAACGCAGGCGGAGCAGGTCTTAGTGAAGAGTAGAAGAGGCAGAACCAGGTCGTGGCTCGGTCTGCAGACTCTCCACCTGCTGCAGCAGCTCCTGGATGGGTTCTGTCAGTTTATGTCTTGGTATCTGCAGGCTGGCCTGCAGGGCTGTGCTGCCAAAATCCTGAGCCTGGCACAGAAACAAACACAAGCCCAGCAGCTGTCAGAGTCTCTCGGGAGAGCAAAGCTGACTTATATAATGATGTCACTGAAACTGTACGGCACATTCAGCCTCATTTAACCCACTTTACATACACTTATGACAACCTGATGTGCCTGACTCTTTCACGCCTGTGATCAAGTTGATATTATTGATTGTGAGATTATGCATGGATTACGAAATACACAAGGATCACCACACTATCTGAACCGTGAATCGCTGGAGAAAGTGGGTCACACAACAAGAGCACAAAAGGCATTTTCAAAAATATTAGAGTGAAGATGATGTTTTTTGAGACCCAAGTCAATGTTACGACCTTAATCCGACAGGAATGTAGTAGCTTTTAAAGCTCGTCTTAAAACCCATCTATTTTACTAGGCTTTCAACTCCAGCGAGATCTAGTTTTACATTGTATGTTTGTTTGTTTTAAACTGTAAGAGTTTTTATTTGTTTTTATTCATTTCATGTACTTGAAACAAGCTGTTCATGAACCAGGGTGAAATGATTGTGAAATGGTGAAATTATTGTTTCACCATCATTGCACAGTTCAGTTCCTGGGCGGAGGCTTGCCACCTAAAAGGTTTCCTTTTTTTTTTTTTTTTAACTCAAAATCTACTAATGTTGCGTCGGAAGTATATTTTGTTTGTTTAAAATGTTGATGATATTATTACGTGATATTATAAAGGCATCGTAAATCGATACCACATTGGAGACACCTAAAACAAATGTCAAGTTGAAAAAGTTGAAAATCATATTCTACAAATTCTGTTTTTTTTTTTTTCCCACAATTCTATCTGATAAAACTACATGCATAACTAAATTTCTTGCCACACTATCATGGTTACCAAAGTTATAACTTAAAACCATATTGCAGAAGGAAAGCAAAAATAACTTGCCATAAATCAAAATTAAGAAAAATATATATTAAAAAAAAATCATCTTTTCTGTTAAATGTTTTGAGAAAGAAACAAATAAATATATATATTAGTATATGTATAATTTTATATGCATATGGTTGGGACTAGAGTGATTATTATTGACACAAATTATTTACCCAATTGGCTAACAAGTACTTACACTAGTAGTACTTCTTGAGTAAAGCATGCATTTCTTCCTGTTCTGTAAGATTTCCTCTAACATTTAACCTCATTCTGTGGTCAAGACCTGCTTAATTGTAAATACTTTGAATAGCTACGTCACAGCTGTTTTTTTTTTTTTGTTTTTTTTTTTAGGTCGACACTCAAGAATCATGTGCAATCCTTCAGGTGAGACAGTACGCAAAGTCTGCAGGCCAAATCCGAGGTCAGACTGTCGCGACACTGCCGCTCCAAATAGTGTGCGACTTGTGTTTACAGCGTCACCAATTAGCAGTAATCCGATCTTGAGACAATGCTGGGGAGATCTAGGAAACGGCGTCACAGAGTCATACCTGACTCCGTCGGGTGATTTACCTTGTGGAGGTCTCCGTTGATGAACCACAACATGGCGAGGTTGTAGGCAATGAGGGCAATTTGACTGACGTCTCTTCTGGACTGTGTTTGTTCAAACTCCAACATGACTCTCAGCATTTCCTCCATTTCAACTCGCTGGGACTTTTCTAGTTCAGAGTCATGGAACGGAAGACGTTTTATTAAATACGTAATACTTTAATAACAAGTAGTCTGTTATAAGAGTCCTGAATACCCTTAGTGTTCTGGTTACAGTGTGCGTGTCTTCACTGTTTATAGTTTTTCTAAGCATCTTTTCTTATCTGCTTTTGTCAATAAACATTCCATGAAGCCTGGGAATTTGCTTCGCAGCTAACAGGCTTTGTGTTATAAGTAGGGCAGCAGCTGTGATAGAGTCAGGCAGTACGGATGCTGCTCAGTCAGAGTTGTGTCTGCAGTGGTCTCTCGTCAGCTCTAAGCACGCGAGCGTAAATCTGGGGTTTAGCGTTTGGATTGCACAGCAAGACAGATCAGCTAAATATAGCGCTGTTGACCTTATTTATCTATTTATTTTCAGTTGGTCTTAGTCTCATTCATTAGTTCACTTGTATGTTAATGGGGCTCCTGGCTGGAGTTTGGACAGACGTAGATGGACAGACGGTGGCATTTTCTGTGTTTTCTGCTGCTGCTAAATAAACGAACGGAATGTTTTGTTATTAAATGCAAGATGTTTGTTTCACATGGTGGAGGAAACCATACGCACCATAAAAGGAAACAGATGAGTCAGCATGTTTCTGGTGGGTCTCCAGTAGACTGGTTAGATGTTTGTGCCACCGTTCTGCCACCTACAAAAATAAGCAAAGAATTTATACATTAAACATGAACCGTGCAAAGAAAAAGTCAATAAAATCTGGAAATATTTTTGAACTGATACATGCAGCAGGGCTTTTTGCATTCTCAGTGAAAACTGTTCAGTGCTACACTCTTGTTTACTGTGGCTTATGTGGGTAAAATTAGGAATGACGTGTGCGGTGACTTTTGAAGCACTGTAAAGTGCGGTAGTTGTCACATGAATCTTTCCTTAACTTCCTGATTGGTTTTGCTTCACAATCTTTGTAAAAGCTGCTTGTGCACCTATTTTTTCTTTTACTCAGTTTTCCTTCAAAACAGTTTGGCACAACATTCAGTGAACAGTCAGTCCATTACTTTTTGTGGTTTAGCCTCCCTTTGGAGGGTGTTAGAGACTGACTTTAAGAAAACTTACAAGTCATCAGTCTTTGTGTTGATTATAAAAGGGCTGGAGCATAACATTTTTGTCATTAAAAAAAATCATTTTTATTGTTTTTTTCATTAACTATTGGTCATGATTGTCCAAAATAACAGAAATAAACACGTGATACCGTACTGAAATACATTTACATACAAGTTCCACTTTCTGAACTGAACAATGGAAATCAATTTACTTGTCCACAATTTTCCAATTTATCCAGGTGTACTTGCAATTCTCTGGCTCTGAAACCTCCTAGACCACTTAAATGATCTAAAATGACATTATTTATTTGTGTTTTCGATGCCCTGTGTTTGTTTTGTTGATTTTTAATTTTTTTTTTCAAATTAGGAAACAACAAAAGAAATGCCAGAGTATGCAGGCTTTATACTTTGAATTCAGAGACAGCATATAAAGGGAAAAAAGAAAAAAAACAACAAACAAAATATGTGGATGGGCAAACCTCAGAGTACAGGGAGTGAACAATGAGCGTCTTCCCCTGTCTGGCAAACACATCAGCAATTAGAAAGTATCCCTTTGTGGTGGCAGAGCTGTCTAAACCATACTCCACACAGGCAAAGTAAATCTGTAAATAAAAACATATGCACCCATATTAGTTCTTGGAAAACGGTGTTTAGAGACATTGTAATACTTGTTATTTTGATTACTTTTATTCTTTTGCAACTATTTATGTTTTTTTCCTTAGCTGCCAGGGGGTCAATGCAGACTTTGAGAGGCAACAGCATTTGGAGGTTTTCTATAAACTTAAACTAAGTTCTACAAGGAAAAGTAAGGCTATCATAGATTGGTCCAAATTACTTAAGAGGAACCAACAGATGCATAACATAGACCTGATGTTTATCGTAATAGCAGATCAAAAATGGTTATGTATAAGGGATAACTAAACATTTCATCTGTAACAGTGAAAAAAAATACAATAAAAATCCAAACATCGTTTGCAAAGTGAAACAGGGCGTTTTCCAGGTTTCCAGCTGAAGTATAGTATTGGCCCAGGCTCCTGTGCAGCTGCTGTTGGACTGAAGCACCCAATTCTGGATTCTTCAGTACAGCCCACTCGGCCTGGGACAGGAGCTCTGCGACAACAGTTAAGTTGCCCAGGCCTGGAAAACACCAAGCAAAGACACAAATGAACTCGTCTGTGCATATAAAATTATCAGAAAGAAAAAAAAATGGTGTAATTTGAGCCAAAGAATCATTTTTGTGCTCATCTCTTACCCATGTTGGCCTCCGCCAACAGTATATAGGCAGGGACGAGCTGGATGGTATTGGGTCCGTAGAGGTCAATGGAGGTTTGCAGGCAGCAGTGGGCAGCAGGAAGTGCCTCTTCATGTTTACCCTCTGACAGCTTGCTTTGAGCCACCAACTTGCAAATCTTGATCAGATGTGCCTGAGCAAGAAGCCACACCCATAGTTGCCTTCACTCCATAGCAACTCTTCAGACATCGAGAATTGATTGCGTAACAGTTCACAGAAACAAACCCATGTTATCTCACACTTCATCCCATTTCTCTGAAGTATCATTTTCAGGAATGAAGTGAGCTAGACTCAGCAGGTTCTGAAGATACTCAGTATCCAAATTGCTAAACATGACAGCAACAGTAAGACTCGCAGAAGGAAAAGATCTCTTATACTACTGCTGCTGTTTCTTTTTTACTGAGATATCACGGACTAGTTTGGATTATACAAATTTGGAATGATGGGTCGTTTCAAGATAGAGAACCAGACAAAAGGACCATAACAATAGGAGAGAAATTATTGCTGTTGCTTAGCTGTAATACTCAAAACGAAGCCAGAAATTCTGTTTACTTTTTCATATAAATTTCCTAGTTAGTTTACCTTTCTTAACTGGTTTTTCTTGCGGACGGCCGGATCGTACATATCTTTCACAGCACGTATGGGAACAAGCATTTGACAGATCCTTTCATGGACTCCCACCCAGTCGGCCTGCTGGTGATCTGCATTACTGAGAAAATTTAAAGACATATTTGTTATCCAAGAGATACTTTTCTCTCTGTCCCAACACCTTAAGTTCCAAGAAGTTAAAGTGACTTTGTAACCTCCAAGAAATCCTCCCGTTATTCTACTGAATCACGAGTCACTGCGGGTTACATTGTAGACAGGTACAAGACATTGTGAAATACAAGAGAGATAAAATGTTGTCAAAAGCTGCAGTCTTTCAAATTCTGGAAACATTCTAAGATGCCATCTGAGTTCATGGAAGGCACAGTAAATTGAAAGCTACAATAATTGGCCTGTAATTTGTTTCCTCTGGTTCCCTTCGTCTGCACACTCTTGTGGAAACTGACTGAACTTTCCGTGCATATTTCTTACTGCGGAGGATGTCTGCTGGCTCTATATTGCATTTTAAGCAAGCAGAAATTTGGCCATGCCACATCACCACTAAGACGACACAAACAGAAGTTTGAAGACTGCACAGCTGGAAGAGAGGAAAATGTAACGTCCTGTTTGGCCATTTCGCTCAAATACAACTAAAGTGATTTGCAAAATAGATCCTTTTGAAAATATTCACTTTTGTTATCATATGACCACCGACTTGATTTGGATACGATAGACACCAACACAAAGTAGTGTATCATTGTGAAGTCATGGGAAAAGTTTAGCCTGATTGGACAGAGTATCTGCAAACAGTAAGCTTTGAATATCAGTTTCTCAATAGGATTTAGGTCAGGACTTTGACTTAGCCAGTTTAATCCAACTTTGACTTAGCCAGTTTAATCCAAATTGCTAAACATTTCACAGTAGCTCTAGTTCTTTAGGGCTTTTGTCTTGCTAAAATGGCAGGTTTATTTATATCACCTTTTGAACACGATGCAATTCAAATCTTTTTAAAATCTTTCTATTTTTATTTATTTATTTAGTTTATTTATTTATTTTACATAAAACCAAAGCAAAACATTAAAATAACAAATGTCTTTAATCCTTAAAAAATGTTTTTCTTAAAAAAAAAAGAAATATTAAAATACTTAGTTAAAGTTCAAACTCCTGCTTCGGTGACTCATTAGTGACTGGGGGAACAGTTCATTGGTGGGGTTCTTTGGTCAAAAGCCTTAGTAACCAATAATGCTTTAGTCTGGGAATATTAGGATTGGCCTGAATTTAGCTCCATCATCATTCTATCAGCTTCCTTGTCGAGGAAAGTATCTAGCAATATAAGCTGCCTCCATGATATTTGACCTTTGGGACTGCATGTGAAGGCCGCATCCACGTGTGAATGAATTGTGAGCCTAAGTCATTCACAATATTTTCCTTACTTTGTAATTTAGGTGGATGGATGTGTCTTGGTAGGTTTGCAGTTTGCATAGTGTGTCTGCTGTGTTCCTTTGTCCTCATGACCAAAATCTCCGAGGCCTTCACAGAACAGCTGCATTTACGCCCAGATGAATTCTTGTTCACCAATTCAGTTACTTCAGAAGGTAACTGGATTTTCTGTACCTTTTTCAGATTTTCTGACAACCTCGTCTCATTTTCTTTCAGCTAGCAATCATGCATTTATTTCTCTTAAAGAGCCAAATAAAGTAATATGAATACTGTGGTTGTTACAAATGGAAATGTGGTAAAAAAAAAAAAATATATATATATATATATATATATATATATATATATATATATATATATATATATATATATATATATATATATACAGTAACTGACTGTAAGCTTCATGAGACTGGCTTTAGTAGCTCATCCCTTCCCATAAATCCCCACAGGGAGAGCCACCACATGCTGCAGACCACTGTTCTGCCACTGAGGGTTTCAGCCAATACCACCTTGTGCTCTGTAACTGAGCAGAAAGTCCAAATGAGGGTTTGCAGAGATATATAAGCATAAATATAAATATATATATATATCAATACTTGTCAAAGCAGACTGTTTTCTGGCATTAAAATAAGGGGTGAACGAAAATATTTTTGCACTAATGTAGCTTCCAGCTGTTTTTCTCCTTCATAGCAGCCACATGACGTCAACACACACGTGATATTTTTCTGTAGCATTGCGTAGCGAACACTGCCACCTCGCGTTGACATGGTGTATCACCCACCAAACCTCCCACTGCCAAATTAATGAAACATACTGCAGCGTTTATAAACTGCTCCTATAACGACGGGTCACACACGAGGTATTAGAATACGTAAAATGTTAGGACAAGACGTCCAACAAAGTGAGCTTACCAGTAGAAGGTGACCTGACACTTGGCGCACTCTAAGTACGCTTCCCTTTGACAAAGTTCACAATACTTTTCCTTTCCTTTGGGGGAGGCGAGTGGCATTATATCGATGGCAACCGCCGAAGTTCCAGGTTCATCAGGCTCCATTTTTGTTTTTTTGTTCTTTTGTTTTAACCAGAAAGCTTCTTCACTGCAGTTTCTTAACAGCGTTTGCTCCTGAGTTTGCGGTTGCTATGGAAACAACGTTAGCCGTCTCAGAAAGCTAGCATTCCCTTTTTGTTTACAGAGATATACAAAATCTTTAAATTATGGCTAGGTACTTTATTTTACAACATGAACTGTGAAAAGGCATAGGCCTCACTGAACGTCAGTTATTTATTTTATCAGGTAATAATGAACCAAATACAATATCTCCAGCGGTCAACAAGTCAGAGGCTGGGTCACCCTGGACAGGTCACCCTGGACAGATCACCCTGGACAGATCACCCTGGACAGATCACCCTGGACAGGTCACCCTGGACAGATCACCCTGGACAGGTCACCAGTCCATTGCAGGGAATAGAGACACACACACACACACACTCATTAAGGAGAATTTAGAGAACCCACTTAACAGTCATACTTTTGGACTCTGTGGGAGGAAGCCGGAGTACCCGGAGAGAACCCACCATGCACAGGGAGATGATGCAAACTCCATGCAGAAAGACCCCGGGCCCAAAATTGAACCCGGTACCATCAAACTGCAAGGCAACAGTGGTATAAACTATGCATCCCTTTTTAAGTAACATTTAAAGTGATCAAATATGACTGAAAATAATTGTTAAGGTAATTATTGGAGGCTTTTTGGGGTTGGGACCGACGGAGGCACGGAGAGAGGACTCGATACCAGGACCAACAGAGGAACAGAGAGGCGGAGGCACAGGGGGGCGTCATGGAGCCGAGATCGACAGCCGAGATTGACATCTTCAAGAGGCATTTCATTTGATAAAATACCTCTTGAAGATGTTGGCACCAGAAGAAAGTTTTGAGAAAAAACTGCCCCTCTTCTTCTGGTGCTTTTCAATCCGGGTTAAAAGAGACGACACAATTGTGTCGTCGACGATCTCGTGCTCCATGAAGCCTAGAGCCCATCCGGCAGAACATCCAAAGGTTTCTCTGAGGTCCCTGAAAACCTTTTTCACAAGCCCAGGGACCCAGTCCACCTGGATTTCCACCGGATGGCTCTCGATGTCAGCGCAGATATGATGAACTATGCGCTCCTGTGCCTCCATCAGGGAATCAAGACACCTCCGTGTCTTTGACTCCCTGATGCCCAGACACAGCAACGACTTTACAAAAAGTCGCACTGTGTCCTGTCTCTGTTCCTCTAGGGACGCCCTCAGTCCTTCGGCGCGTCTCCTTGCTGTCATCAGTTCATGGACTAAACTGATGACAGCTCGCGCCAAAGAACTGAGACCTAAGCCCGGCCTCAGAATCGACAAGGGGTCTTCATCATCCATGGGAGACATAGATGTTACTTGCTTCAGGAAGAGGACGTCAAGCACCTGAGCACAGTCTCCCTGGACGACTTCGTCGACTCCCATCGCCCGGGCAAAGGCCTGAGAGACCTGATCTCCGAACATGACTTTTATATCGCCATACTCGTAGTTCAGGTTCTCAGAAACGTCCCTGATAAAACCGGAGAAAACATTCATTAAATAACTTAAAAGGTATCTCGTCCTCTCTTTAATACCTTCATCCAGGTCCAGAAACTGTCGATCCAGCCAGTCGTCTTCTTGTGTCTGATCGATGTATTCACTGATAGCAGATATGGCGTGTCCATCCACCAGCAACTGCACGTCTCTCCTCAATAACTCCATGTTTCTTCTGAACTGAACTTGATGCCTTCTCTTCTTGAAATACCGTGGAACCTGGCAGAATGTTACCAAGCGGAGTTATTTATGCCCCGTGTTACACAACAAAGCAGTATGTGACATCACAGCCTGTTCATGTTATTATGATGTCACAGACAACTTTCCTTTAAATTCTTAATGACTTTTTTTATACTTATTTGTCTGTAACTCAATCTAAATTCTTGCTCAGATATAAAAATAAAAAAACTCGAAACTTAAAGGGGTTCTCTGCTGGTCAATAAACACATTCAGCTGAACCTGGATTTTAATTTTGCAATCAGAGATGCAAGATGATCCCTGTTTACGCATAAAAGCAGGTTTCCTGTACGTTTCATCTGGATTTTCTCAACTAGATCTAAAAGAAGGCATCCAACTTATCTATCAATGCTGATCGAGGCGAAAATTGACAAATTTCTATTACTGGCAACGACAATAATTGATGCTCCATTACACGTTTGGCATTTAACTCACTCACAGAATATGTATCAAATTGCTGAAATGCAAATCCTAAATGCTTCCAAAGTGAAACTTTTTTCTACCATCACAAAAACGTGATGTAAAATAAGTTGGCGAAAAAAATCGACGATCATTCCTCAGATGTCAAGCTGTTGGATTTCTGTTGCTTTATCATCAAATGTCAGTCAAGTATGTAAGGAAGTAAGATGACTTTGTGCATCCTGGCACCTGATGAATTTCAAAGGACTGGCTAGATAAACAGAGTGTAATAATGCAATTATCATTCCAAGTTTATATGAGGCAATAAGCAACATGGGGTATTCATCAGATCCCTGATCTGGTTCTGATCTGTGCATCTTTCTGAAGACAAAAATCATCTCATATGACGATGGCGTGAGTGAAGGTCTGCACGCTTCTGCTTCTCCTGCATTATTAGCATATATGATTAAACAACCTAAGCTCCAACTCTGCAGATAAAAGCTCATCATCACGTGATTAATTAGAGCACTGCTTGATGGGATTAAGGATGAATCTCATTGCACTCCTTCAGCCTCAACCTTAAAGGAGAAACGGGAGTTTGGTTCATCTCTGAGGAGTAAATAAAGATTTATAGGGAATGGTTTCCTTCCAGGATGGAAACATGGGTGAAGGAGATTTAACGTCCATAAGTGAAAACGACTCCAGCAGCGTCTACTTTGAAAAGTCCCAGCAGATCTAGTCGCCGTTAATTATTGGTGATCAGATGAAAAATAGCAAATATGCTTTTTGAAAAAATTAATATAACTTTCATTTCTTTCAACAAGCTCATAAAGTGAAAACATACTGTAGCAAGAACAAAATAATTTACACACCAGACCTAAACACTTATCTGATCATTAAACTCAAAATCCTTTTATAAACACATCACATCTTTGTGCTTGTAAATATTTGACTCCAGTTACGGATCAAAGTTAAAAATGATCAGGCTGATTGATTGGTGCGTCTCTAGTTATGCAATATTACTCCCAGTGATGGATATATACTTAGTCATGTTTTATCACACTTTATTTCCTTTAAACATGTTAGTACTACACATGAAACCTGTCATTTTATAAACTATGTAAAATGTAAAAACTCTTTAAATACTTTAAAGTAAATCGCAATTGTTCTGCATTACAAAGCATGAAAAAATACCATCTGCCTGTGTAACAGTTTATAGGATATTATTAGTCATCTTATTAGTGGTGCCCCAGTCTGATTCATATTTTAACCGCTCATGAATACAAATCAAACCCTTCCTGAAAAAATAAAACCACGGTTTTATAAAACTGGAATTATTTTTAAGGCTCTCTGCTCAGTGTAAAGTAAAATCATTTTTAGAAGAGTTTGAAATGATGATCTAATCTAACTCGGTCTTTAGTAAAACAGGATGAAAATGATTAATTAATGATTAATAAAAATGATTACATCCATCTCTGAATATCTTACAAAAAATATATATATAAATAATATAATATCCATTTTTAAATCTGATTGAGTTACTGTGGCATAACCCTAAAACCCTAAAAATGGCTTCACCTTCCCACTATACTGGTACACTCTGTTTGAACCAAACCCACCTGGAATGTGTGTTGCCAGAAAGCTCCACCTTATTCTTGTATTAGTAAAGTACACAGTTCCACTTAGAGCCCCCAGAGAAAAAGCTTTTCTGGCATAACACCCAAACAACCACTTGGCGAGATAGATATCATCTAATGGTTGTTCTGGAGACTTGGTGATCCTAAGATGCCACTGTTTTCTGCAGTCCACTGACAGTAAACTCTGGATAGTTTTATTTTTATTTTTTACTTCCTCATCATTCTGCAAATCATGGTAAAAAAAGATTAATATGGACTTCAGTCAGTCTTTTTGCGATATTTATTAGAAGATGCATCGAAATACATACAAGGTTTGAGAGAAAACTGTTACACAAAAAACATAATGTTCTATTTATAAATGAGACTTACTAACCTAGAACTCACTGATTAGGATAAATGGTTCTGTCAAATACACATAAACAGATAAAACTATCACATTAGCTTAGGTTATGTTATACATTTTGCTTTTTTTAAAAGTAGCATTCCCCAAAATCAGTCTGTTTTATGAAACCTAAAGCTGCTGATCTAGATTTTCTTTGCCTGGTCATTCTTTCTTACGCAGGTGGATATACATAATCCCACTACACAACAACAAAGGGACACACACCCATGCCAAGATAAAGCAGTAGCCAAATTTTCCCGAAGTCAGATTTTTTGAGTCCAGCAGGATTTCCTTATTGTGAAGCGTGTAGATTAGCGCAGCAGAAAAGACTGTCAGACCTTATAAAAAACAAACAGACAAAACAATTGTCAGGAACAAAAGCTTATACAGGAGTTTCCTTAAAACACACACACACAAAAAAAAACAGCTGAGGTGCATAAAAACATCCAGCAGAAGTACACAAATTCTGTGCCGGTCTGCCATACCATTACGAAACTAATGTCTTCCGAAGTAGTTGTACAAAATTTCATATTTATAATGTTTTACAAATGGGCAGAAATTGGACTGTTATTTGGAATAAGATGCAATTTCACATGTCTCCCAGATCATCTAAGGTTTACCTGCAAAGACTTGACACAGTCCTGTGAAGTAGAAGAGTCCGCCCTTTGACATAGTGAATAGCTGGCCTAAGAAGACCAACAAGGAGACTGAGGAAAAGACGACTGAGATGACCATGAGGACCTGTACAGCCTGAAGCCATTCTAAAGAGGAAGAACATGTTTTTTTGTTTGTTTTTTTAAATGCTGATTCTTAAATGTTACGCATCGAGTAAAATCCTTTTTTAAAGGCCTACCTGTTTCTTCGATGGTTGCACACAGCTGAGTTCCTGTGGCGTTGTCCAACCTACAGTTGTACCAAAGGTCTGATGTTTCTGTGGAATCCCACACCCACCAGGACTTTTAAAGAAAATACAACATGATGCATATGGTTAGATAAGTCCTGAAAAAAATTACGTTCTCATAAGCATGAGTATTACCTTTTCCATGGTTGCAATGAATAGCATTGCTAGTGTGATGAGATGCAGCAGGGTGACAAAAATGAGCAAGTAGGCCATCTTCAAAACCCTGTCTGAAAGAAATAATTGGCTCATAAGCATAACCTGGGCAACAACTGCCATTCAGCATATGAAAACTGTCTTTTCTATTTATTCTGGTTATCTTTGTCTGCTGTTAAAAGGTTTTGATATTTTAAGTGTGACAAAAGAGCAAAGACAGAACTAATGTTTGACTGGGCAATCTCATTTTTACAGCACTGTATACAGTAGGAATTAAAACGGAAGGAAAAAAAAAACACCTTTTCCCTAACAAATTTAACTCTGACATTTTATACATTTTATTACAGCCAATATTTAGTCCGCAATAGCTGTTGTGGTGGCTGTTCTAACTTCTGATAGAACAAAGAGACATATAGTCAGACAAAAGGAAACAGAACAGGACACAAAGTAAAATAAGAACCAGATGAAATTGTCTGTGAAGATCTATATCTGTAGGAGCGGCCTGTTTGTGTGGGCGGTGGAGACAAAATTACTGTAAAATTATGTTATTATGTTAGATCCCATCAATCATATGAAAATGACACTTGAGACTGTTATCTTTTGGTTAGAAATTGGTTATGGATTTGGTTGTGGAATTTCAAAAATCAATAAGAAGGACAGTACGTGAAACACTTGAGTAGGTTGCTAATGGAAGGAGCAAAAGATATATGATTTTTAAACAAATAATAAGTTAAGAGTCAACAACAAATGCTTCAGTTTTGTCTTAAAGCTTAGTTTAGTCATGTTAGAAAGCAGCACTTGGATATATTAAGTGAGAAAATTTGAAAAGTTAGGAAACTATCCTCCTACCCTGGATGTTGCTCGTTCTCCTCAATCAGATCTCAACAACTCGGGAGCAGCTCCTGTACTTAGCGACCTTGTGCCCGCTTCGGTGGTCAACACTCTTTTCCAACTCTGCCACACCCCCTTTATTTATTTACTTTTTGCAGGCTCTCCACTCCAAAGTTTCCAAGGAGAACGCCCATTTCCTCTGCGGAGAACAGAGCTCCCTTCTGCTCTGCCCGGGCATCGGTCAGTGCATCATCATCCAAAAAGGTCTCAAATGAGACCCACCCATCAGCAGCGGAGGCATGTGAAACCACATGAAACTATCGTCTCTCTGTAAACAGTCGACTAGAAGTGCACTCCTACATAGTGGGTGTTTCACATTTCTTTTTCCATTCATCACATGCAACACATAGCTGTGACATTGATCACATTTTTGCATTTCTCAGAGTATTGAAGTTTCCCAAATTACTGGTGATTCATGGAACAGTATAAAGAAGCTAAAAACAACATAAATGTGTCTAGAAGTTCCTTGTTGTGGTGTGTCAAATATTTCAGCTTATTCTGGGTGGAGATCTTTTTGGTGATTTATACATATCTTGTCTTGTAATGTCTTGTACCTTCAGCATAAATTTTTTAACTATCACTTCTAAAACGGAGGTCAAAATTGATCTTTAATGCTTTGGGGTCAGAACTGGCACCTGACACAATGAAGTCAGGTTAGTCATGACAAGACCAAAACATTGAAAAGAACACATAAAAAAAGTACTTAAACATCCTTATGAACACAGATATTTACATTCAGTGTATGAAAGACAAAAACATGTTTTTTATCTCACTATTTGACAATACATATGACCAGACTTTGCCTTATTTGGGCAAGTTAAGCAAACAATCTCTGTTTTACAGAATGACGAGAGACATAATATTTCAGATAATTGCTTAAACTCTCATTCAGTTTGGAAGTTTACGTAGATTTTTAACCTTGGTCGTCAATGAAGTTTAAGTAGCTTGGTGTCACTGCACATTAAAAGACCAATGTATTGCAATCATTGATGTCTGAGGTCCAAATGATGTCCTTAGTTTAGTTTAGTTCTTTAGTCTTTAAAATACCAGAATTCACACAATTTTATCTTTGTCTATCGGATAAGATCATTTTAAAATATTGAATTAGATATGTTGATTCTCACCAAAATACTTTTTTTACTGTTTTTTGAACAATTTCTTGGATAGCTACTATCTGCTTTACTTGAGTAGAAATATACAAATGTTTGTAAAAGTTGTATTTATTTATTTATTTATTTATTTATTTATTTATTTATTTATTCCAGGCTGCAGTGGGTCTTTATTTGACAATGATCAGACAGAAAAAGCGGTTCGTGAGAGAAAGAGGGAAAGACATGCGACAAATGTCGACAGGCCGGGGAATGGAACCTGCGACAGCCGGGTCGATCACTCCATATATGGGTCGCGCGATTTACCCTTCCGCCATCGCCCCGCCCTTCAGAACGGTTTTGTCGCCATCTAGTGTCTACATTCATGAACTACGGAGATAGCAAGGTGAATTATTCGGAAAAAAACATTCAATAAAATCTGAATTTGACAACGCTCATGTCAAGACACATTTAAGGTTGAATAGCTTTGTCAAAGTGTGTCTGATTTTAGAGTGTTACCTATTTTCTCGGGGTTGGTGAACTCTCCCCTCCATCTTGGTACGGTCCGTTGCCTAGGTGCTAGTAGAAGCTAGTGTACTCCGCCATGCCGACCCAAGGCGTTGAGTTTTCGCATCACTGCGAGCCCGAGGTGAGTAAAACATAAACTATGGTCTGCTGTATGACTTCCTGAAGCACAGTACCAGTCAGTTTTAGTGGATAAAATCCCCAGTAAGAACATTTAAACTTTAATCAGTGGCCAACAACCAGCCTCTGGAACAAGCTGCGGGACCGTTAGCGCCAGAGCTATCTTTGTATGCAGCCTAATAACTTTGGTAACTTTACCACCACGGCGTTCTAGTGTAAAAAAACCTAACAAATAAATAACCTTGGTTATGCTTTAGTACGCAGCGAGTCTTTCTAAAAAGCTCAGAAGACGCCGTGCTTCTACTTGAAAACATAGTTTGCTCCTCCTTCTGTGTCAGACATTTTGAGAAGAAAGCCATAACAAGCGAAGGATCTTTCAGAACTGAGGTAATCTCTTAGAAACTATTGATCATTTTGCATGGCAATAAAATGAAACAAAACGCACAATATTTTCCTGCTGGAAATTCCATGTAAGTTTCCACTTGTAAGCTGCTTCAGCTGTAATCGTTGCTATTTATATCAAAAGCTTAATGATCAGAGAAGCAGATCACACATAGACGATAAGGCTGAAGTTTTGCATAGCTTCAGGTGATACAATGTCGTCAGCTGTCAAACTGCAGCTGGAGTAGGCAGTGCCTGAGGCTGTCACTGCAGGTTTTGTCACGACTTAGCCAAATTGTTCTGAGAAATGTTATCTTTTGCAGAGCTGCTAGTACACATGGATTACAGCGACAATGGGACTGATAGAGCTTGAGGTTCTGCTCTTCTTTGCCACAAAATGGGACACCATGTAGGAACAACTGCAGCTTGAAATAACTATTTTCTCAGCTGAGGAAATGGCTTCACCAAAGTTAATGTTGATGGATCATGGAGAGGTAACTTTGCTTCTGATGGATAAACGTTACATTCTCTATAAGGTGTTGCTCTTCTGTGGAAACCATTTCTCTCGAGAGTGACATCATGTTAAAAGCTTTTCTGATCTGCATTTTCTTCTCCATTGGCTAGTGTATTTGTTGGCAGTTCTTCAGCATAATTTGAACGTATTGCACATAGAAGAAAGAAAAATCAAAATGTTTGTCACACAATCTCGATGGAAGGAACGCAACTTGCACCATCACCTAACATTTGTCAACATTAGAAGGGCGTTCTCAATTTGCAGCCTTTCAGCCATTTGTTTCAGATGGACATAGACCAGCTGGTGGCATTTGAGACTCGATACTTCGCCTGTGACAATGTGGTGCATGTTGTTGGAGCTGTAACAACTCCTTCAGCATTCCGAATATTGCACGGCTTCCTCTCAAGTTACCAAATTCTGGAACAGGTGTTTGGTGCCGAGTTGCCGTGGTCGTAGTCTGAGCATGCAAAAAGATCGGCTTTATCGAGCGAGTTTCTCCATGCAAATTGTAGTTTAGCAAGTCACGATACATGGTTTTGAGCTCTTGTGTGTTAATAAATTATTTATTTTCCTCCTCTTTCTCTTTAGTTCTTGACGGAGCTGGACCAGATTACCAAGAGGCTTCAGGACGATGGCTTGCCTCCAGAGGCCGCAGCGGAGGAGAGGCAGCAGCATCTATGGCGGCAGCTGCTGAACGCCGAGGCGAAGCTTCAGTCAGTCTCAAAGGAGCTGCAGACCTTACATACGCAGCAAGCCAATGAAATGAAGGAGGTGAAGTTGTCCAGTGTTGTCTTTGTTTATCAGCTGTAGAAAACTTCACATTAGGTTTAGTGGGTTGCTGGTTTTACTTGAGTTAGTCTAAGAATTGTATTGTCTTTGACTCTCAGGTAGACAGCTACGTAGCTCACATTCGAGCGCTGCTGGAAGAGCGCGAGTGTCTGACTGCAGAGTATGAGAGAGACAACGAAGACTTGCGACATGAACTTCACCAAATCAAACATCAACAAGGTGGTCTGCATAAAGCTGTTGCTAGCTATCGCTTTTACATTAATACAGCATCCTCATTATTTATTGGCATCCCTGGTAAAGATGTGTGGAAACTTTAGCGGATTTGAATTACTCACTTTGATCCTTACTCTGAAAAATGCAATGCTTCCAGAAAAAAGATGTTTCTGTCCTGCCAGGATAAACAATTAATGTGCGGATTTGATAAACTTGAACTAAAACTGGGTGCTTTAGTTGGATGACTAACACTCCAGGTCAACAAATGATGATTTTTGTGGGTAAGACTCTCATGCTCACAGTTACGTACAGTGCAGGTCCTGTGACGCTATCCAGTACAGTAAAGATCACTTGTTAGCTCTTTGAAATACTCGGACAATTTGAACAATCATCTGGAGACCACTTCTTAGTTCCCCTAAACAACTTCAAAGAACATCTATAACTTTATTCTCCCTCAGTGGAACATTTTCTCGTGTTTATGCTAATCGTAGTGCGTTATTTCGGTGAAGTGTCGTTTACCAGTATGACACGAAGGAGTCATTGTTTCCTTTTAGAGATCCAGAGCAAGGAGATGGCGGAGATGTTGTCACAGGAAGACCTGGGGGAGATCGGCTTGAGTAGCCCCAGTGAGCAGGTGGCTTATCTACTGGTGGAGAGGGCCACTCTGCTGGAAAGGCTGGAGGCTGCCGAGGGGAAGCTGGAAAGTCATACCCTTGCCGTTACCAACAGCGACCATCGGGTGAGAGTTTAACAGAGAAGTTCTATTTGACGTGGTACCACTAACATTGATAATTACTACAGAGTGTCAAGGAATAGATTGAAAAGCTGATCCAGGGAGTTTTGTCTGTTGCAACAAACATAATCTGAATCTAAAATATATATTAATGTAACATGTAGCTACCTCATTCATATGCAATTTCCATCTGTGTGCATCATTTTAACAGGAGCACATCCAAATAAAGGGAGAGAGTCTGAGGCAGCAGAGGGACGACATGAGCAAGACCATAGATCACATGACAAAGGTGAGGTCATTTTAAGTTCTTCCTTAAAGTCTGGAGGAAAGAATAGTCCATTTCTTTCTTTTTTTTTCAGCGAATGCACAGAACAGTTCGATCACCATGTGGACATTGGCTTTTTGTTTTGTCAGCAGTGTTCATCCCAGAGTCCATGGAAGAAGCTGTTTGGCCTGCGCAGGTCTGCTCAGAGCAAACACAATATGAGCCCTGTAGGTTTCCACTTCACAGCTCATACTAATCCCTCTAACTAACGCTGGTGTTGTGACGAAGGCCGGCAGGACGGCCGACACTGGGATATTTGTTTTTAAAATATTTCGCACAAGCGTTTGGATGTGTTTTGATATTATCCTGCGAAGCATAGCACCTGATGCGGTTTGGTCGTCCAAAGATTAGGAACTAACTTCCTCGTCCACATGACACTCCACTCATTGCGGGACGGCTCTATGCTGCATGTTACAGCGCTTTGCAGAAGTATCCATTGATTTTCCACATTGTCTTACATTGCAACTAGGGCTCTGTAATTTTCAGAAGCCAATACTTTGGTATTATTGTTATGTTTGCTATAATTGAGCCACATTTTTCTTACTACTGTCTTTCTTTTCCATCATCATCATTATCGTGTCCCCGCCCTTTTTCTGAGCTTCACTTTTTCTGAACTCAATAGTTAAGGATTGTGAAAGTCGAAAGCAAAATTTTACTTCACTGCAATTAAATTAGAATAGCCTAACCAACATTGCACCCAGTCAGTAATTTCTAATTGCAACTTTGCACATATTGATTTTACAGTGATTACTACTATTTGATATATTGTGCAACTCTAAACACAAAATTTGAATAGATTTATTGGTATTTTATGGAACAAATTGACATAAAATGGCACTTATGACATAAATAAAGTCTCATATTCCTTCCACTTCACAATTATGTTTTACTTTGTTTTTATCTGTCACATAATATCCAAATAAATATGTAGTAGTTTGTGGTTGTTATGTGACAAAATATGGAAAGGTTTCACTGCATGAATGCTTTTGCAAGGCATTGAATGTCCCTGTGCCTGCTTTGCATTTTGTCTTTCTTTCTAATATGGTTCTCAAATGAAGAAAAAACAAAAAGCATTAACAGTATTTTAAATTTATCACAAACCCGCTGATCGCAAGGAAACCTTTTTTGTCCTCTGAGCAGGAGAATGCTGAATCGACTCCCTCCCCTTGCTCTCTACAGGTCTGCAGTGGTAACGGATCTCAGCCGAAAATGCATGATTCTCACAGCTGCCTGCTATGTCTCCGGTCTAACTACCAGTCCACTGTCTTGCTGTTCTCCTTCCATACCGACCGTCCTAAACTTGATCATTTCCTGAAAGGCCCACAGCGAGGAGATCTCCATGGAGCGAACTGAACGACAGCGGCTGGAGCGGGACCTGGAGGAGGCGTCCAGGAGGCTGACCATGGCTCACCAAGACATTCGCAGACTCAACAATGAGCTTGACGCGGCTAAGAACAACAACCAAGACCCATGTGGTATGTCGAAGACACATTCACCCAGTAATCATGAATGCATTTCTTGTATTCAGAATTATCATCACACTGAACCAGAGACTGCACAACTTTCTGCTTCCCGCCTTTTAAAGTGCATGCATTTGTGTGCATTTTTTATTTTATTTAAATTTGTATTTCTTATATATATTTTTGGCAGCATACAAAGATAATGTCAGAAAAGCATTCTTAGTAAGCTTCTAAGTAATGTGGATGTTCTTCAAATTGTAGGATCTGAGCTTGAGGGGACAGTCCAGGAAGTTGAGTACCTGAGGAAGGAAGTGGACAAAATGAAACACAATGGTGAGACGGCATGGTGTTAATGAACTTTATTTGGCCGATTTGAAACTTTAGCAGACGGAAGTGGTGAAATTTTTATCCACAAAAAAAATTCTTCTCCAAAAAGGTCATGGGTGTTCACTGTTTGCAGATTACCTCTATAGTAATCCATAATATAAAACAGTATGGAAGCTTGATTAATCAATGCTTCACTGAGACTATGTTTTTATGTTATTTTGTTGGAAAGTGGTGATGGGTTTTACAGTAGCACAGCCTGGCACTGTTGCCTTGCAAGAAGAACCAGGGTTTGAATCCTGGTCTCAATGATCACAGACAGGAAATTGGCTGTGATCAAGTCAAATGCATGGGTTTTGAGCTCACCCCCCCAATGGCCTTTTAAAGAACTGCAGCTTAGTTTTTAAAATGGGAAAGCAAATCTTCCAAAGTAAAAAAGGTCAAAAATCTTTTTGCAGATATGATGAAGCTGCAGCGAGCTAAAGAGCAAAATGACAGACTGGATGCAGAGAACAGAGCTCTCAGGGAAAGAATAAATGTCATTGAGTCTCAGAAGAAAAATCTTATGGATCAGGTAAATAGGTAGAGTGTTTTTTCCCCACTTCTATAAATGAAGTTGCAAAAAGTCTTCCTGAAGTTGAGTTTTTTCTTTGTTTTTGTCCAGATGGCAAAATCTAATACAGAAAAGGAAGACCTGAATAACAAAGACACTGAATCTGAAAACTGTCTCTCTGCTACGTCAACCCAAGAGAAGGATCGGATTCATAAACGGTAACGATATAAAATCATGGAAAATGACACTTTGCAAAGCAGCAATATTTCCTTCTTCGAGGTTCAAACAGGCCTTTGTCACCGTTATTCCTCTTTAGGTGTCAGGAAGCAGTAGAAGACGGACTTGTGCAGGTGAGAGAGCTGCAGCGGCAACTCCAGAGGCTACGCAAGGAGCAGGAAGAGCTGGAGGAGAGGAATGAGGAGCTGGAGGCCCTTCTGGGGGAGGCCCAGAACGCCAGCAAAGAGGAGAGGCTTCGCCATGAAGGAGAGGTGGAGGGGTTGCACAGAAGGGTACGGGGAAAGAGCTGGATTCGTCTGTACCAACATTTGATATTTAACAGATAGAAATAAAGTATTAATAGGATTAATTTAGAAGGATCGAAGTCGTCGTCAGCTAATTTGGTAATCGATTAATTGTTAACAGATGTGTAAAAAAAAGGCCATTTGCTGAAAAAGCAACATATTCAGAGCAGTCCTAGAAAGAAATTATGCATTTAATTACTTTACTATCAAGTTTGTATGTGATATATTTTAGGAAAAGTAGTTGGTGATGTTCAAATAAGTGAAAGCTTGAAGGGGAAATAAATGTGTCCACTAAAACCCTCTGGTCTTTGAATTTAACCATGCAGATTAGAAACCTGGAGGCGGAGCTGAGAAAGCACGACACTCAGGAAAAAGCACCAAAGAATGGCGACGAGGTGAAGGCCGCCGAGTCCTACCTGCACGTCGTAAGAATTTACTTTTGTTATTATGCAGTGACACAGCAGACTATCTCAAAGGTGGTGACAAACTGTGCTTGTAATATTTGTAAAAATTATACATCAACCAGTCAGACATGCACATTGATCTCCCCTGTGTATGAAGCACCTGAGGGACAGCTCCCAGGAGAGAATGTCCCTGCTGGAGGCCCGGCTGACTGAGGAGAAGGAGTGGAGGAAACAGCTGGAGTTGGATCTTACTGCTGCTCAGGCTGCCCTCAAGAAAGATAAAGAGGTAAAGATTTCACACATGTCGTCTGCAAGACCAAACAGTCAATCAACAGCTGCATAACTTTCTGAAAATCAGCTCAAAAGTGAAAACATTTATATTTTATATAGTATGCTGTTTGAGGTTACCACAGTAATAAGAACTTCTGTTTTAGCTGTACATATGAGCAAATCTTTTCCTACCTGCCTTTTGCAAACTAGCTCAGTTTTTATTCCTCTGTTTTTTTTTTTCGCCCCCATGCTACAGGCTTTGCAGATAGGCGAGCGAGAGTTGAAGAAACTGAGACTGGAGGTCAGCGGTCTTCAGACCGAATGCCAGCAGGGGAAAACACTCATCAAAAGTCTGACCCAGGTCAAGGGAGAGAAGGCCGTTCTAGAAGAAAAGGTTCGCTCGTTTCCTGGGTTTGAAATGGAAATAAATACGACTCAGATTTTGCATAAATATATTCCTTTGACATTTCCAACTTCTGTTAATTACTCTTTTATTTAATAGACCAACATATGGTAGTACATTATCGTAGAGAAAAACATTAGAAATTTCTTTGATTTTTTTTTTTTTGGAAGATCTGTATAAAATTGTAATGATCATTTCTATTAATTTCCCCCGAGTCACTATTTTGCGAGTCTTGAATTTTTGGCTTTTCACATCATGAAACTAAAACCTTTGGCCCGTTCTTTGCTGCATTTAAGTTCAAATGCATAAAGTGTGTGCCACATGGTCGTTTACGTGAGTGAGAGTTTACAGCTCGTCTTTTCTTGATATTTCTGGCCCTTTCAGGTGGCCCAGATGGAGCGCGCCCTCAGCAGACTCCAGAGTCAGCTGGAACACTACAAGGACAGTAACCAGACTCAGGGAAAAATTATGGAAAACAGACTCCAGGCTGATCAGACGCAGAAGCAGGTCGACAGCCTTAACGTCGAGCTCAGCAGCCTGCAGTCTTCACATGACAATCTGAGGTAGGATGCATCATCAGCTTGTAACTGTTCTGAAACATTTCAATTGGAAGTAGTTATGTCTGGGCAGGAGCTATAGCCCTGCTGCAAATAGTACTGTAATAAATTGTTTTTCATAGCCAGCGGAGAGATAAGAGGTGATATTGGCGCTTACTTGCTTTGCATACATATGCATATTTTTCAGGGAGGAGATGACCTCTGAACGGCAGAAGACGGCTGAGCTCCAGGCGGAGCTGAGCGGCGCGGTGCATCTGAAGCTCGAGGCTGAAGGGAAAAGAGAGAGAGTGGAGCTGGAAGTCCAGCGGCTCAATCAACAGCTTCAGTGGCTTCAAGAGCAGCTGACCTCTGCAAAGGAGGCACTTCATCGCAGCCAGAAGGCTGAAATAGACACAGCTAATGCAGGACCTGGGTCTGATTTGGTAGAGAAAGTGAAGGTTGGAGGTTTGGATCAGGTAATTCAGTTAGCAGCTATAAGTCTTCTTGCATCATCTGAATGTAGAAAAGATCGGCTTCACTGCTTAGTAAATCAAGTCGAGAAGAAAGCACATTTCCTCTTCAGGTTTTTCATTGAAATCAAATATTTGCATTCACCCTTTACTCCTTAAGACATTTGAGAAAAGCCCAGATAATGAATGTACTTCTACGCTTAGGATTATGTTAGTTGATTTACAACATTTGAGTTAAATTATACACCTATTTGTGCATTTTAAGCCAGTCTTAGATTAACTGCTTTCTTGGGGTACAAATGGGTTTTCCGAATTTTTACTAAATGCTTTAAGGTCAGCAAACATGACTCGGTTGCACCAGCTCTGTCAGGAGGAATGGGCCAATATTCCAGCAAGCTACAGTGAGGAGCTTGTCGAGGGATACCTCAAATGTCTTGACTCAAATCCAACAGTTCTACCAAATACTTAAGATATGTTTGCAGATTTCTTATTTTAAAGAATGTCATTATTCTTTCATTTAGAAAATATAAATATTTGTGATAATCCCAGCTGACTTTAAACAGGACATATTTAGTCTTATTTCTTATGAGAAAATATTTGTGTTTTGTATTTTTATAAGGGTGTGTAAATATCTTGTTTCAGCTGCTTCTATGTCTCTCCGTTTTATGTCGGAAGCTTTCATCTTTGAAGAAGAACATAAAGGTCTTGGAGGATAAGCTGGAGGAGGAGCGGCAGCTGGCCTCTCAGCACCAAATGGCTCTTCAGGCTCAGATTAGTGAAGCCCAGGCACATATTAAGGTACACATGCTCACAGCACGTATCCCTCCATATTGCATCCAAGCAACCACTTTGCATTTCTGTTGTTGGAGCTTGACAAAAAAACAAAAACAAATAAATGTTTGTAAAGATTGGCACAAAGCAGTTGACACTTTTTTTTTTCTCAAGCATTTATTGTCCTAAGGAGATCAGCACTCAAACATCTTACTTGGGTAGAAAGTGACTTAGAGAAAACCAGTAGCATCTAACAGAAAGTCCCTCAGCACTGATCAATTTTAAAAAATGGTAATGGTTCCAAAAAAATTTAAAAGACAACAAATCTTTGGTGTAAAAATTGCTTATAATTCCACTGAATAAATGTCATCAAACTAAAGGTTGGATTATTCAAATGCTTTTAGAGTACATTTGTGTTACTAGATTAAAAGAAAAATATATGTTCAGGCTTTTTCTCTGTCTTTGCATCTCTTTTTAAGTTCATATTTCTATGCATTTTCAGGCTCATGTAATTTTCACCTTCCAGGTTGCAGGAGCTGCACACATTTTTTACTCTTTAAGCAACTGACAGTCATATTTAGGTTTTTATTTAGATAACAAATTAACACTGAAAAGTAGACTTTTGTCAAAGATTAGATCCCTTGTTAAAATTTGTCACAGCTGCAAAGCGCGTGACCCAAATACGCAGCCGTCACAGGTTCAAGGTCATGACCTCTGCCACATGTCTTCCACCCTCTCTTAGCCCACTTTCCTGTCTGACAATTGTCAGATAATGGCCACTGTAAATGACAAAACCTTTAAAAAACATTGATTGGTTGCCTTATCCATAAGTTTATTTTAGTTTACGGCCCCTGCGTCTGTTTAACTTTTTGTGTCTTTCTAACTCAAAATGCTGTTGTTTCTTTTTCCATCTTAAGTTGCAAGACTCGTTGCTGAGCCAGAGAGCGGAGGAGGCGAAACAGATGAAGCAAGACATGCAGAGAGCCCAGAGCCTGTTCACTTCGGCCGAGAAGGAGCTGCGCTACGAGAAGGAAAAGAGCCTGGATCTGAAGAGACACAACACTTTGCTGGAGCAGGAAAAACTCAAGGTTGGCGTCGCATCTGGATTTTCCTAACTGGCAAATGGTCATCTTCATCACTCTCGCTGGCTTCTTTTACTTTCTGTGAATGCTAATAACAGTAAGTGAGCAAAACTGAAACTGTACCAGGAAACAGGTGTGCTGTGTACTGTGTGCATCAAGAAGCAAGAGAAATATAAAAACAATTCTTCTCATTATTCAGAAATATTTTTTCAACGTTTTGACTAGAGTAATTTGATTTTGTTGGATGTTAACTTCTTGTTTTTACTCATTCCTGTCCATTCCTTTGTTATGTTAAGCTACACCACAATGGAAAAGAAAAACTCTTGCTCTCCTCTGAAGGCTCTGTTCTCTTGTGTGTTTCCTCAGCTTTGCGCTGAACTGAAGCAGGCCCAGTCCAAGCTGGCACAGGTGGAGCAGAAGCTCCAAACTCGAGACGCTGAGTGCGAGCGTCTGCAGCAAAAAGTCCGAGAACTAGAGCTGCAGCTGATACGCAGCAGTACCAGCGGCAGCGCCACCGCCAGCCTGCAGGAGGAGCTGCAGGCCGAGAGGGAGCGGCTCATAGCTGCTGACAAGAAGGTCGGTGTTTCTGCCTCATGAACTTGTAGAACCTTAGACCAGCTCTGCTCCTTCTGATGGATTTGAGCTTTTCAACATTTTGCTTGTGCGTCTTAGCGAATTCAACCTTCGATTATAAACACCCCAAAATGCAGTTTGGGAAGTTATTTCTCTTTTTTTCTGCAGGTGTTGGAGCTCCAGCAGCAGCTAAAGAACGTCCAGCACCAGCTACGTGTCGAGGAAGCTCGAGCCGGCGAGAGCAGCCGCCTGGAGAGGGACAGCAGGGATCTGTTTGACTCTTTGTCGGCCCTCAGGGCCCAGCAGCAGGAGGGCATCATCGCCAGGTGACACAGAGTTCACAAAAGCCTTATTTTTTGTCCGACTCATCGTTTCAAGCCGCTCTAACTATTTTTTTATTTTATTTTTTTTCCAGGAAGCTTTTAGAGCAGCGGGAGGAGGAGCTGCAGCAGCAGGTGCGCTCGCTTCGGCTGAAGGAAGCTTCCCTCAACAGGACAAACACGGAGCTCAGCCACCGCGTCCAGCAGCTGGACACTCAGCTGTCCATCCTGGACACTGAGCTCAAGAAGACAAGAGAGGAGGTGAGAAATTTTACTTTGCTTCAATAAGTGTTAAACCTTTTATTTCAGTATGTATGGAAAAATAAATCATTTTTTTGCTGCTCTTCAGGTAAAAACAAGCCAGAAGTCAAAACACAAACTGCAGGAAGAGCTGATTACCAGTCAGCAGAAGTGTGAGAGGCTACAGGAGGAGCTGCAGCAGGTTCTCCTCCAACTAGATGCACACATCAGGTATTTATCAATATTAGCATGTTGACGAGGATTATGGCCTGAATATGCTGTGCTTTATTTGAGGCTTCATGAATAAAGTTTGTTGTCCAGGACATTTTGTTCATTCATAAGAAACTGAAGTGCATAACAGCTGGCAAAGCTTTTCTGCCTTAACAAAACCTACTTTCCGAGTTGCAAACCAAATGATGGTCAACAACCAACAAAAACGTCAGTATTGAAAATGGTGTCATCCTAGGAGAGGGAACACGTTTCAGATTTGTGCACCGTGTTTGATTCTCTTGTTTTTCTTCTCCACTTCTACAACGACCAGGAAGTACAACGAAAAGCAAAGCCAACACAAGACCAAACTGTGTCAAGCCAAGCAGATTTTCCTGAAGGCAACGGCCCAGAGAGATTCTACCATCCAGAAACTGGAGAACGATCTGGCGCTGGCCTCCAGTCTCTCCTACAAGGTTTTTATTCCTGTTCAGTGTTTGCTTCTCAATGGTTTGATATTTTCCAACAGGTCTTTGCCTGAAATGCTTTTTCGTTTTGTTCCCTCCGCCCCACGCTGCTTCTAGGAAAAGGAGCGGATCAACGTAGTGATGCTAGAAAACGAGAAGCTTCTGGAGGAGAAGCGGGAGCTGCTGCGGAGGATAAGTGAGGCAGAGGACATGGGCAGCAAAGGCATGAGGATGGCTTCCACTGTCCAGCACAGGTGGCTCAATCAATTGCTACTCCTGAACAGCAGGGGTCACCACAGCGCAACTAATTTTTGACAAAAACATTTGCAAAAGGAATTTGAGGAAGCAGTTTTTTTTTTTTTTTTTTTTTTTTGTAAGTTGAATGCAAGACCCAAAACTGACCCGTCACTTTTGTGCACTTGTGAAAGCTTAAATGATATTTAATAAAAGTCTTATTTGTTCAGTCAGTTTTGCAAAAGTTTGGGGTCACAAGGTCACAGGATTTAAAGTTTCTTGGACAGAGTATTTTTCTTTTTTTTTTAGCATTTTTCTTATTTCCAACTTTGTTTTATACCATTTGTGTTGAATTTTTAATCTGTTTTTTTTGTACAAAAAAAATTCTTTTACATACTTGGATGAAATAATGTCAGTGCCATTTTCTTGTTTCATAATGTGTTTTTGAGTGTGGAGATTTGTCTGTTAAAGGGCTAATGTCTTAGAGTTGGAAAACAAACAGCTGCAGGACAGAACCCTGAAGCTCTCCAATCAAGTCAGGTCCCTGGAGCGTGCCCTGAGGAACGTTGAGTCATTCTACAGTATGGAGGTAGAAACATGGACAATTTACTATCATTATTGTTATTTTGAGTAGACCGTGTTATTATTTTGTCATGTTCCTGAATTGTAGAGAATTTCAAACACCATTTACCGTCAGGTCCACACTGTCATTAACTGTGAAGCAGTTATAAGGAAAAATGTTAGTTATTTTTTCTTTTAGTGCTTCTGAAAAAGTAGAAATATGTGTTTTGTTTAAGTTAACGGACGCTTTCACATATCTAACTTGCAAATTGGTCAAATATTTTAACAGAATGTCAGGCGAGCGGTCCCCTCTGATGGTTTCACAGAAGGTGTCCTGCATTCATCTGCTCTGAGGTAAGCCTGGGAAAATGTGAACCGCATATTGATGCAAGGACGGAAAAAAATATGTTATGACAATGTAAAATATGCTGCTCTCTGTTTTTAAAGCGTTCATTTTATACGTTTTCAGTCAGAAATACAACAAAACGTCATTTGGAAATTCACGCCGTCAGTTTGCAGGCTCCACTTGTCACAGACAGAAAGAATGGAACCTGAAATTAAGTGAAGTTTGCAACGTCCTACATATTGTGAAATTTTTTCTCACTACCACATCTCCTAACCAAAACTCTTCATGTTGCACAGCCAAGCATGAAGTAGTTCTGTAAAACATTTCACTAGTGAATGGAAGCAACTGAAAACCCCTCTTTTCTTCTTATTTAGTTTCAGAAAAGAGCGTGTGCATGATTCGTAGTTTCAGCAACGACATACGTTTTCCCTACGATGAATCATTTGTAAAGTTTCTGATAAAAAACTTGACGTACCGTGTCCAAAGTGTCGGTGAAACTGGCGCTTTGCAGTCAGGCGAGGGGGAAGCTTCAGCTGCTGCTCAAACTATTAAAAGCAGCTTTCGTCCCGACGACAAGCCGACCACGCTTGCTAATAACAGAGCTTGTTATTGATGTCAGTCTGACCTCAGGTCCCTGTGATCACGCGGACATCCTGAACGCGATCTGCCGTGCGACGGTGAGCAAGCACGTGGCGCTGGACGGCACGAGGACTTCCGTCTGTACGCAGCAGCCGTCAGAGCAGGGATACCTGAACCTCGCCTCCCCAGTGGTCACTCCAACTTCCACTAAGGGTAGAGAAGAGACTTCAGATGGCAAAGACCAGGGGTGAGAAGCGATGGGAGTTTAGTGATGTCACTGCCATACCACGTAATCTGCTTACAAAGGGTTGTATTTGAAAAGCAGATTCTTGTTTGCCTCATAAGTACTGTATTTGTCCCAGCAGCTTACTGAAAGTGATTTTTTATTTTATTTTTTTTACTAAGCCTTTATTAATCAAGTATTTTTCAACATACTCTGTTTTTAAGGACAACAGTGTCTATTGGGATTCTGCATGTGATTATTTGGATTGCAAACACATGCGAATGGTTTTCTAAAACTTTATTATGTTTCTTTGGTTTGTTTGCCTTTGCACACCAAAGCTTTTGAGAATCACGTAAAGTTTGAAAGACTGATGCTCTTTGTGATACAACATTATGAGAAGCACCACACGCCAGTGCTTTTAATGGGAAACATATTTTGTGATAGTTATTTTAATAATTCTATTTGAATTGAAGCACTTTAACATGTTTTTTATACAGATGTTTACATTCAATATGTTTTAGCAATGCTGTGCAAATTTGGTTATGTTAATAACTTTTCCTGGTTCGATTTTGCAGTGTTTTGATGCCTTATGATGTCTAAAGTGTTGGCTACTTTTGTACTTAACAGGAAAAAAAAATCTAAACTGAGTGAATTTTTAGATGTGTGCAGGTCTGAATGTTTCACCCATCTTCTGTCTGATAGATTATCTGATACTTTAAAGAAAACCAATTCTGTTCTTTTTTTTTTCTTCTTGGCCTAATTCGAGGCTCCACTGGTTTTTTTTGTTGCTCTCATTGTTGTCCACGTAAAAAAGAAGTTTCCTCCTGCGGTTTTAAAGCAGCGTCGCGTGGCCGTGTCTGCGCTTGTTATCTCAAATGTCTAGCCGTCCGTTTGAAGCGCTGATCTCCACCAAAACAAGATCCAGTTTGACTTTTAGCGTGAGCAGCATCTTTTTGTCACGAGCAGATATGGTTACAAAATTCATATTTGTAGACGCTTCCTTCATTGTTCTTTTTTTTTTTTTTTTTTTTTAAGAATAGAAGTTGTGATAGCATGATTTCATGCACCGCTTCCTGTCACAACACGTCACTGGCTTTTAGTCGTGACACATTCTGAACTAAAGAGACACACCGTGAATCTTTATCTACTCAAACTCTGTATAAGAAACTGCCCTTCCTGTCGCAGGACGAACAGAACAACTTAGAAATTACTCATCGGCAGCATAATCTGAATGGAATTTTAAAAAAAATAAAAATCCAACTTGCAATGAAGGAAATCAACAGTGACACAATATTTGATCGTACTCCCAAGGTTCCATTTTGTCAATGGGAGAGATTTTCTTTTATAGCATTGTTGCAGGTTGGAGTGCACAGAGAGAGCTGCGTCGGGTTTTGTGCCCTTTCCTGTTTACCCAATAGGATTTAAGTAATGGACAAATTTAGATTTCTGTTGAACTATCTCAGTGATGTTGCTGGAATACTCAAAGATGACTCATTTTCTCGTTTTGAAGCTTCTGCATGAAAACACAGATTTATGCTGGGTATTTCCTGTTATTCCAAAACGGCTCATGATGCCGGCTCATTTTACAAGGCTCCCAGAGCTTCTGGAGGAGAAACAGGCCCACAGCATAACAGGTCCTCCACCAAACCTAATGGGAAGCATCTGGTGCTTTTCCACACATTCATCATGAAAAAAGCATCTTTAAAATAAGCCTACTTATTTTGGTTCATATGGATATTCTAAGAAGCCACTGTTTGCTTGAGTGATCTTTGGAGATTTAGTTTTTTTTGTATCCTCCTCATTATGTCAGTGTAAATCTCGGTCTTTGTGAAGCCCAGTGGCTAATAGAAATAGGATTTGGTAGCAGGCTATGTTAATGCAGTTTTTTGTTTATAATGCTCTTAACTTAAATGTGTATTGTTCTACATTTCTTGGAGATTATGCTCCTGCAATAACAGCTGCATTTTATTTATTTTCTTCACATTTTCCACAGGTACCAATAGATGTGCCTGACACAAACAAATGCCTTCAATTAGCTGCACTTCAGACCCAGATACTAGCTACTAAAGGTTTTTAAGAAACATGAGTGCATCACATTTGTATATATTTTCAAAACGTAAGCCACTATTTTTATATTAGCTACATTTTTACACTAAAGAATCCGTTATTTCCATTGTGCCTGAAACTTTGGTGTTTCAAACGTGGGATTTTGCTTTTTTTTGTAAGAATTGTGGAAATTGTTTCAACTTTTATCGCATTTGTATCAGAACATTTTTTGTTTCAAATTTGAAATTATTTTTCTAAAATAAAGATTTAACGAACAAAAATGTCTGCGTGCTCCGTTTTCAAAGTTCAACTTAAGAAACTGACTAATTTATAACAGTCTGTTTATTAAACAAGGTAAAGATACAAAGCTTTTTTTTTTCTTCTTTTTTTTTTTTAAACATTGATAACCTTAGTTAAACTCCTCAGTCTTGGCTGTGCATATTTAGTCGTCTAGAAACCGTATATGAAACCACAATGCAAGACAGGAAAAAAAGTGTAATAAATCTGAATATCTTTTTCATAGAGAACATGGGTTAAACAGTTATACAGATTACAAGAACTCCATGCGGAATGAAGCAAAAAGAACAAAACGAGAATAAAATGCTTACACGACTGAATACTGTCGAACACAATACAGATCAATGGATCTGGGATGATAAACAGTTAAGGCTTACATGTATAGAACTGATATAAAAGATGAATATTAATAACATACAAGTAGACTAAAATAATTACAGTAAATTCATACATGAACTTTTACAAATTCCAAACGGAACATCTTGATGGAAACCAAAAAGTAGGTACTATATGAGTAACATGTTTTACAGTACAGGTACATGTACATTTTTCCATTATCTCAAAAAAAGAAAAAAAAATTGAGAGTTAGAGAGAGTATGTTGAAGAGGCAGGGTCTGTTGTTGGCATAAATGTCCTTATTTCAGGCCAGTGGCTTGAGTAATAGGTTCTTATTCTTTTTGAAAACATACTATATACTGTATATGTATTTTACATTATTCTCAGTTCCTTCTCCGAGCCAACGACGAGCCGCAGCACCAATCTTTTTCTGAAGCGCCCTGAAGAATACAGGGAACCCTACGAGTACCGTTCGGAGGTTACAGTAAAAATACAACAAACAATACTGTGTACAGTAAAAAATAATACTAAGAGAGAGAGAGAGGAGGAAAAAAGCTGAGGATTTACCTCGGCACACACTCGTAATCCTACTGAGTAGGACGTATACTGCAGTTTCTTCAAGATGAGTAAAGCTTATTTTAAAGAGAACGAAAAACAAAAAAACGGGCGGGGGTCGACTAGGTGAGAGTAGCTGTACATTAACTTCACATTTTGGTCCAGTGGTTGGATTGAAAATTACCCACTTCTAAAAAAAAACAAAAAAACTATTTCAGCTGAAATTTGAGCCGATTTTAAAATATATATATATTTACTTAAGTTCTGACAAATGTGTCAAAACCTTATTTAAAAAAAAAGAATCGACAAAGCCTTCATAAACTGTTTAAGATTGGTTTCCTCTTCAGTTTTCAAAGGTTAAGTATGGCACTGATCACTTGCAGGAGCATAAAAATAATGTGTGTGTGTGTATGTAAAAGGGATGTGGGAAATGGGTACACAAATGTGATATTTCCAAAAGGTGCCTTTAAACTGAAAACAAATTTGAATACGGTTGTCACAGAATTTGAGAGAGCTAAAGCAAGAAAAATATATTCCATTTAATGTTGCTCCATTTCTGCCAATAACTGCACCTTCTCATACAATCATTTGAATTGTCATCGACCGATTGCCTGTCATCGGGTTTGGATGGCCGTGTACTTGTGCAGAAAAAAAAACAAAAAAAACAAACGAGGAGAGCAGCACAGAGAACCGTCATTCGTTTGTACTACTAATTGCCAGAAATAATGCCCCCCTTTTTTTCTTTTGGCATTTTCCCTCCGACTTGATTAAAACAGTTTGAGCTAAAACCACAGTGCCAAAAAGTGCTTTAATATCATCTTTGGATGTTTTCCAAATACACCCAGCAATTTCATTTTATTTTTTTTTTTTACATCCTTTAATACTTTAAAAAGGCCAAGTTTTAAAAACCCATTTTATGGAGGGGGGGGAGGGGGGGGACGGGGGGGGATGGGGGGGGTCAAAATAATCTAAACTGAAGGGGGTTAAAACAATTTTTTAAAAAGTATCTAAAATATATTTTAACAGGCCGATGCATCCAACGGTTTACATGATGCTTACCAAAGTGCTTACTGAATCTGACCCAAGACATTCTTTGCCTCTCGGACCGCCAGATCAACGTCAAGCTGTACTGTTACATTCACGAAACAACGCTGTGCTCTTATTTGATTTGATTTGTTTGTATATATAGAATTTTTTTTTTTTTTTAACCGCCAGACAGCCCAGGCGGAGACGGATGGAGGCAGTCCGTTTACTGGATCTTAACACCGAATGCTTGTGTCAGCCGTCACAACGCTAATGTAAGCCTTATGTAGGTGAACGTGGGGTGCAGGGCCTCCGGACGTCCGGCCCGACCCAGACCGAGAAATCCTGCTGCTGGACGCCCGCCGAGCTCAGATGAGGGAGATCCGGATGGGGATGCTCGGGGACTCGGTCCTCTGTGGCGATTGGTGGCTCACTAGGTGCTCCACGACTGTGTGTTTGGACATGTGCTTCATAAGGTAGGTCTCCTAGAAAAGGTTGGAAAACACACAGACATGTATTTTGGAGTTGGATTCGAATCATTCCTTGCGAGACCCGCGGGTGAGCAACACGAAGCGAACCCAAAAGACACAGCGTTTCTGTTAGACGTGGTCAAAGACTTTCATCTGCCGACTCCAGATGACAGGCGTTCAAATCAAATCAGGTTTGATATTCAAATTCAGCCCCAAACAGTCAAAGTTGCGACGACACTTCTTTACGGATTTACTCTTATGTTGTTCTTTGAATGTAAATGCGACAGACTCACCTGACCGCGTATTTCCAGTCTTTATTTGCACTTAACAAACCTCTTTAAAATTAATTCATGGATACAGAATTTTATAATGAAATATTTTTTTAAATTTCTCCTGATATTATCCCATAACAAAGGCATAATGTCACAAATTACACTGTAGGTGAGGTTTTTTGGGTCAAAGAAATTCAGAATAAGTACTTTTTTGATATGTTGGACGTCAGCGGTTTTAAAACTAAAATACAGGTAAAGTAGTAATTTCTATTTCTAGTAACCTAAGGCCACTCTCTAATAAACACATCTGCTTGGTCCCCCAGTGTCTCTTTCCCCCTGAACTGGGGGAAAACTTGCAAGATTTCTTTGCAAGTTCCATCATGTTTATTCTTTATCAAAGCCACTGCTTAGTAACTGTATCAATGTGAAACGATAATTTAGCCTTCAATAATATCATAAGAAGTGTAAAACTGCTATTTGAATCCATAACTCTGAACAGAATCTACAAAGATTTTCTGCTGCCTGTGTTTTGTTTTTCTTCACCCCAGCTATTTGGCCAACAACCCACACACTTTAGCTGACATTTAAACCTTTGGAGCCGCCATGGTAGCCAAGTCATTGTTCCCGTTCTGTAATACGGTTCTCATTGTAAGTGAAAAGGACTACTTGGAAGATCCCCGAGCTCCAAAATGCCACTTCCTCCCCGATCGTCTGAGCAACCGTTAGCGCACTCTGGATTGTTAACTATCACAAACAGGAAACGTGACTTCTCTTTGTCAGAGGAAGGCAGAACATCATCATATGTCACAATCTTATCAGCAATAAGCTATAAACAGTCTATGTAAACACGCATTCAGGGGAAAGAAAGGACTTTTTTTTTCTCTACTCACTGAGGTGTATGCCCGGCCGCACATGCTGCAGCAGTAGGCCTTAGCGTTTTTGATGGCGTGCGCCGACAAGTGGATCTGCAACGATGCGGAGTCTGAGTAGGCACGGTAGCAGTTGGGACATTTGTACGGCTTGTCTTTATTGTGCTGCCTCTGGTGAGACTGTGGGGCGGAGGAGAGACAAGGAGAAAGGTTGCTAAGCAGTCCACTTCAAAGGTCCAAGTGTGCAGAGGGAATGAATGCGTTGCAATTTGTCCGCCAGCTGTCGCAACCGTGGAGAGCGCCAGGGGAAAAACCACAGTCAGAAAAAGTCCAAACATTTGTTGTTTTTTTGACTGAATGATTTTTAGGAACTCTGGATTATACATCAGTTCTTCATTTGATTCATATGTGAATCATTTCTAACTGCAGGACTCACAGTGCAGTCAGTAATTGTGAGCTGGTCAGGTTTCATTTTTTCCCTCATCATCCAGACTTGGACAATATTCAAGTCAAATTAAACACTTTAAACAACTCCTGCTTTTAGCATAATTAGCTTTTTTAGAATAATAACACCTCTAACATGTTATCCTGTTAAAGTTATTCTAACAGTGATCCCCCTCTGCACTCTGTTCCAGGTGTGACCCTGTTAGGATAATTAAAAACTCACCTGAAGGTTAGACAGCTGAGTAAAAGCTTTTTCACATCCAGGATGAGCACATTTGTAAGGCCGATCGCCAGTATGGATTCTGGAACAAATTGCATACAAATAAATCATTGTAAAGATAAAAACAACAACAATCGAACCCCAAATTTCTCATTTTGCGTAACGGTTACAAACATAAAGTGATATAAAAACAGATTGAGCCGCAGTAAAATGAAAGACCAAATCAAAGTCCACCCACCGGTATTCCTGAGGTTATTACTTGGACCTTTCTGGGTTCTACTTTCTAAATATGGCGTGCGCAAAAAAACAGGATCTGAAACTGACTCGAGTCACTTTGAATGCAAAGATTGTGATCTATGAAAGCAAAATGGAGGGGAGAATTGAGCGCTCCCCTCACGCAAACCTCTGACTCCCACATACCCTCGTTTTGGAAGCACTTCAGGAAGTAACACGTTTTCAGGGATCTCAGCAATTTCCTGGCCCGTGATGAGATGATGACCAATGTGACGATTTAGACTCTTGGGAGGTTTGGTCCTGGCTCTAAGTGCTGAACTGGGTCCAGTATCTAACATGCAAGTCTATGCGGTAATAAGTCCACGTTGTATTTTTAATTCATGTTTAAATCAAAAAGTTATCGAACATGAAAATATTGAATTCAACAGAAACTTACAGAAACACTGCAAATGCTATAAAAAAAGTATTCCTAAAACATCGATCTATTCCGAGATCCGTCTCTTGTGCAAAGTTGAGACTTGATGCGACTGATTTTCCTGCGTTAAGCTTATCAGCTTCACAAAAGTTTAGCAAAACACTTGTTATTGTTCAGTCTGATAACAACAACAAGGGGACAACGTCTTCGAAGCGGAAGACATTGTGCTGGCGGATTCCCGGCCTTTTCCGCACGTCTTCCCCGCTCTCTACCTACTTTCCTGTCAAGCTACTCTCAAATAAGACATTTCTACATACGAGGCCTGCTGGGTCCGGCCAGCCCATCACCACCCGACGCTTGTGTAAACAGTGGTATGAACCTGGTGTGCTGCTGCAGGTGCGACAGCTGGCGGAACGAGTTCTCGCAGTAGGAGCAGTGGTAGGGTTTGATCCCGAGGTGGATGCGCAGGTGCTGGGAAAGGTAGGAGGCGTTGGCGAATGTCTTGGAGCAGTGGGGACACTTGTGCGGCTTGGCCTCTGTGTGGGACTTGGAATGAATCTGCATCTCCGACTTGGTTAAGAAGGTGAGCGGGCAGACTTTGCATCTTGATGACAGAAAGGTTGAAAAGAGAAGAGAAGAAAAAAAAAAGGCATTAAAAAACTGTAAACTACCAAAATAATGCTTATAATGTAGTCACTCTGATGTCTAACCTGTAGGTTTTGCCCTCTTTAGGTGCCACAGTGACGCAGCCTTGGTCTGCCAGGATGGGGTAGGGCACCACCAGAAGAGGCCCAGATGTGTTTTCCGCTTTGATCTTCTTTCTCCCCCGAGGTGCCTTGGGCGGGGGGCCCAGGAGTCCGGCCAGTCCACCCTTCATGTGGTCCATGCCGGGACCGCTCGCCAGTCCGGAGATGATGTTCACAGAAGGAGCCCCGCCCATTCGGTTCTGGCTGCTAGAGGTCGGAGTGGTGGGGGTCAGGGCCTCCGAGGTGCTGTGGTTGTCGGGTCGAGATGAGGGAGCCAGGCCTGGGGGAGGGCGAGAACCACAGCTGAAATCCAGGCGCTCCGTCTCGGCCGCGTTGCTGTCGGGACTGGCGTACCTGAACGATGGTTGACCCGGCCCGATTGCTCGCTGAGCTGTCTCATGTGCCAGTCCTCCCATAATCCTTTGGCTTTTACCGATGTCTTGTCGTCCAGATTTCCATCTTAAAGTTGAGAGATGGCGCAACAGCATTAGTCGGCCAGTTTTTACGCTCAATCTGCAACTTACACACATAAATAAAAGTGAAAACTACCTGGTCCAGAGCTGGAGGCGGGCCGACCATGCAGAGTGATGTCTGGCTGCCCGGAGCCCTGCGGCTGCGAGTGGTGGGACGGCACCTGCTGCGATTGAGGTTTTGGGACCGGCATGCCGTGCGGAGCGCCGCCGTCCGGCGACGAGGTGGGCACCAGCAGCGGCTGCTGGGACGGGGTGGAGGTAGGCGGCAGGTGCAGAGGCCTAATCTTCTCCGCCATCAGCTGTTCCTTGATCTTGTTAATGAGGACCAGGTTATCCAGCTGAAAGGGTTAACGGGTCATGCTCAACAGAAAACAGCCACCGTGTGTGAATGCCGTTTGTGGGCCCACCGCCAAAAAAACAACAACAAACAAACCATAAACTAAAGAGCTTCAATTCTACTACAGCGACTTCAGTTTCACAATCGGGGATCTGTTTTGCGGTGAAGGCTGGGAATGACATTCACACATGGACACAAACGCGGCAATTAGGCTGGAAATGTTGCTGTTGTGACGTGTTGTGGATGGACTTACCTGGCCTGGCATGGAGGGAGGTGGTGGCCAAAAGTAGGGGTTGTTAAATCGAGGCTCTGCCATTCTGAAACAAGCGATACGTAGACATGATTAGAAGTCGTACTTGGCAAGCTGCTGAATCACCAGGATGATCACAAACACAAACATGTGGGCAAAGGGGTCTGAAGCTGAACTCCAAACAAGTAAATAACCTCACCAGCCAAAATCCTACACATCTTTGCTCAATGACATTCATCGTTCTCACTTGCTTGTAATATAATGAAAAAAATGCAATGACTACAAGATGATGGAATGGGAATCACATGCCTATATTAACCCTTACACATTTCATCTGTTTTGATAGATCACTACTTTTTTAAAAAGCTCAGTAAAATGTTTCTGGCACATCTGTACTACCAACAAATCACTTTCAAATTGAAGCCATTTAGCAACTTGAATGACGAGCAGAAAACATCTCCAAGGAGACGCGACAGTCTACACTGATATTTGATCGACTTTAAAAATGTACAATATTTTCCAAACAGGATCATGTCCTGATTGTATCAAAGCACCCCTTGCGCAATATGTATCATTTAAAACCTATAGTGTAATTTAGTATAATTGTGTCCAATGTGAAGCTTTTCATAACCAAAAGAAGACGCCATGCTACTCTATCTAAATTCAGAGGTGAATTTAGGCAGACACAATCATTTCTCACCGTTTGAGGTTAAAACACACCAAACTTGTCGTTGTGTTTTCTTAAGATTGGAATAATTCCATTGGCTAAATGCCAGAAAAATTAAAAACATTTTTTTTTTCTTGTAACTTTTAAAATTCATAAGCTTACATGCATTTGGTCAGTGTCAGGGATAATTATCCTTTAAACTCTATGACTTGGGTCAAACCTTTAGTATTTGCTTCCTCAAGCTGGCCAGAGTAGTTTGCTGAAGTTTTGGCCCACTCCTCCTGACAGAACATGTTTGTACACCCCTTCGCTCACACACGCCTTTTCAGATCTTCCAACAGCTTCTTCATAGGATTGAGATCGGGGCTTTGTGATGGCTGTGCCACACAAAGCCATCACAAAGCATGCAGCCAGAGTCCATAGGTCTCTCTGGCTACATGTGCAGGACTGCTGTCCGTCTGGAAGACCAATCTGCACCCACGCTTTAACTTCCTGGCTTCTGTAGATGTTGCTTCATTATTTCTACATGTTTTCTTTTTCTTTTTTTTCATGACCCATTTAATCAAGTATATCAGTTTCTAAAACAACAAAACGCCACGACATGATTCTGCCACCCACATGTTTCACAGTCAGGATGTCGGGTATCCCCGTTCTCATTCCTCCACATGCGACGATGGTCATTATGGCCAAACAGTTTCACTTAAGTTTCATCAGACCGCGAGACATGCTACACATTTCGGACCAAAATGTATTAATTTCTGGGACACAGATGCCGTCTCTTTCCTGAGTGGTTGGACATAATCCATAATTCTCTTCCTGTTTTTTTTTTTTTTTTTTGACTTTTCCATCCTATCAAACAATCCTTTTAAACCTATTAGAAGCTGTCAAAGACAGGACAACGTCATATTCATTTCAAAAAATCTTTATTAAGCCAAAAGGGAAATGAAATAATATGGGCATGCCTTCATCACTTCAAGAGACAGTTTTCATCTTGCAAAGACAAACGTCTGATTTCGCAATCTCTGACATAATCTCTCATTTGTTTCGGCATTGAGAAAACAGAAATAAGTTTGGTGATTCTAACTGACCTGAAGGAAAACAAGTTGGTCTGATTCAACTTCAGTTATATATATATAAAAAAAAGGTTTATGTGTCTTTTTAGTCGGTCACCTTTGACATTTAATCATACTTTTGCAGCAACGTTTCCAGTCCAGGGAGCAGATCATGCATGTTGCATGCGTAGCAGCAGAGGTGAGTCAAGGAACGTCTCCACAAAGATTAATTCGTATGATTGTGAAATACGTCACAGGAAAGATCATCAGCCCACATATTTCCCCTTTTAATAGTAATATCTTCAGAAGGTATACAGAAGTTTTAAACCGCCTTCATTATGCTCAATTCTTTATACTTTGTATTTTTATTGCACTTCTTAGTGTCTTTCTTCTCGCTCCCTTTCCGTCCAGTGCTTGCAAAGGGCCATGGCAGTGTGCTTAAAAATGAGGACACGGGAAACAAATTGCGTCTTTACACGGGAGAAAATCCAGAAAAGATAGAGAAGTCACACGACCTGAGAATTGATAATTAATCATGCAAGGAGACAGTTCTTTGGAAATTACCTAGTTGTTGCTAAAAAAACTATTTTATGAGTCAAACTGCTATCACTGGTGTTTTTCATAGCATGAACCAAACCCAGAACACTGGTTCTCTAGAGTTTTATAAGGAAAACCATCTCACAGCAGCTGGACTTTTTGTATTTGCTATGTATTGTCGGGTCTCTCTGACAATACATATTTAAATTCTACCTATTTAAATAGGTAGAATTTAAATAACTTCCCCCACTGCAGGTTTAAAGTAGAACTTTTCAGGCTCCATGAGGTAAAACTTAAATGGGAAGCTTCCTTCCTCACCACTCCCCAAACTGAAAAAGAGAAAGGTTTCTTTCCAAACATGGCACAAAAATCCAACATGGCTGTCATGTTGCCACCATAGAGAGTGGTGCTGAAATAAATTATTTGCAATTCCGACAGTTTTTGTGCATTTAAAACACAATCTTAAATAAATGCAACCTTAGCAAGCATGCTCTGACCAGACAAATTTAGTGTCTGAATAGACTTTTAGCTTGCTCTTCTTAAAAGTAATAACTCACTGAATTCAATAACCGGTAAATCCCTTTGTTTTCTGTACCTGCAACTATTCCATGGTTAATGTAATATTCCCAGAACTAAGTTCTGACTTCAGATATAAATAGGATCTAGAAAATACTCTTTTGATTCGCTAAAAGTATTGCAAAATTGGACGTAGTTAGCAAACTGCAAACAGCATGTTGACTGCAGACTAGCCGATACTCCAACCATTTAGCCGGTTAAAATCAAACCATCAGATTCCCAGTGTGACCCCACAAAATACAGATTGGCAACACACTGCCGCAGAGTCCTTTCCTTGAAAATGACAAATTTAGAGGGCGTTTTATGCATCGATTGTAGCTTTAGTTTCTACATCAAAACAACAATGAATGTTAGAAGCACCAGGGATAATACATTCTGTTCCAAATAAAAGAAATTCAATTACGCAGCTCATTTTGGTGCTGGGTTTTATGTAAATGCTGTTGCACTTTTTATTTAATATCAGATATTGAGAACTTCATGGCAGTTGGTGCCTTGCTGATACCAACATTTTCTTTGCATTTTTTACAATCTGCAAAAAAAAAAAAAAAAAAAAAAAAAAAATCAGTTTGAAAGGTCACACTTGAAACAGGTTTACAATCAAGTGTCCGGTTTAGTCAATGCTGGGTCACAGGAGCTCCGTCATGCCCTGGATGACTCAGTAGGCATCCAGGCAACAGGAAACATTCTTCTGAAAACGGTCAAGTAGAGCTTCAGGAAGCCTGATGAAATATTGCTTGTAAGACCCATTTTGAAAATCACAGAGAAGTCTTGTTCATTTAACGGAACCGAAGAAAAAAGGCATGACTCAAATCTCTTGCACATTATTACTTGAGAAGAGAATACAGTGCCAGGTAATACGCAACTTGAACTTTCTCACACTTTGTCAAATTACAACCACATACATTGACGTATTTAACAGATTCCACAAGTAGAATAGAAATGATGATGAGGAGGAAGAGGACAGTGTTCATAATTGTTCAGCAAAGTCAAATCTGAAAATTTAAGAACGCATATCACTTCAGCCCTGTAACTTTTATGCGCTTGAATAAAATCTAAACGGCAGCCGTTGCCTTCAGTATTAATGTAACTAATAAGAAAAAGTTGAGCTATGATTAATTTAATCGCAGTATAATGCAGCGCTACCATGGAGGTTCTATCAGACAGTATAAGGAAACAAACGTATCATGAAGGCATTTTTGGTTTCCATGCAAAATACAATGGATGTTCAAAAATAACAGCTTATTATGACAGGGGGGGATACATCTAAAACATGGGACACCAGCCATTGAGGACTGTAGTTGGACACCCGTAATTTAAACAAAATGTATTAATGGTTTGAACTGGCCTAGTCAAAGTCCCTAACTCAGTTCAACTGGGGTAAGAGTTTAAGCCTGATGTTCAGGTGATGTCCCTCTGATTTTTCGTTTTGCTTTTCCTGCACTTCAGTATTTTGTGTGATGTTCTATCACACAAAATACATTAAATAGCTACTTGGTTGTGACAAACGTGAAAATATTCAAGGTGTATATAAATATATATATATTATTTTTGCAAAGTGGTGTAAATAGATCAAGACATTAATTAGCAACATCTCATTACGCAGCATCCGGGACGCGACTTCCTCCCAGGTCAATTCAAGTCAGTGACATCTCCATGAGGTCATATGACCTGGAGGAAGACGCAGATGGTGGGTATGAAAACAATGCAAGTTACTTTTTTTTTTTTTTAAGAAGTAGTACGATATAAGCACCAATATTCCGGGTAATACTTAAGCACCATCAATCCAGCACTAAAGCGGCACAACTGTGTAGCAAACATGTCTCAGTGTGAGTTTGGGCCTGCAGACAAAACTGCTTTTTTTTTTTTTTTTTTAAACCCACGCCGACACGTTTATATTTGCTCCAGCATCTGAACGTCAGCTGAGAATGTGCGGACGCCTATAAAAAGACACGGAGAGCCGGAGCCGTGCAGCTCGCAGCTGTCCTCGGCTCCTTTTGTCTGAATTTGTGGGAACTGCTGCGCGTCCGTCCGTCCGCCGCTCTAACAGCTCGGCCGAACCAAACTAAACTTTGCCTCCTCGGACTTTTTCGGACATGTCGTCCTGGCCGCCCGGGGAGCAGCTCCGGACTCGGGCCGGTCGGAGGAGGACCGTCCGCCTGCCTCCCCCCGGGGAGCCCTCCCGCTCCTGCCCGGACATTCTCAGACAGTTTTCTTTAAACATTTCCAGACAAAAGAGAAACAAAAATGGCAGCCTTATTTTTATAAGGCGGGACGCCATATTCTGCAGACCCCCCAAATTTTTTTTTTTTTTTTTTTAAAGGAGCGTGTACCATAATAAGGTGTTGCGTTTTTTTGCCTTTTAAAGGAAAAAAAAAAAAAAAAAAAGGGGTGGGGGGGAGCAGGACACAAAGGTGTGTTTATCACGTCAACGGCGTGAATGATTGTTTACGGCGGATTGCAGGTTTGAATAGCCCGGCCTCCCCAACCTCTTGAAAAAAAAAACTGACACTTCCTACAACAACCATGCCCTGCGAGGAAGAAAAAAAAACCAGCACGGAAACGGACAAGCTGGACTCATCACAGTACATTGATGCCGCTAAGGTGCGAATACTGAAAGCAAACAAGCCCTTCACATCCCGACAAAACGCTTAGCCGTGTTAAGAGTATTTCACTTTTCTCCCCCCTCCCCTCCACACACACACACACACACACATTCTGTAACTTTTCGAATCAAACGAGGGAAATCACATTTTGTGCACAATTGTAACGCATCCGGGACGCGAGCCTCCCAAGCAGAGCAAACGCTTTTAGCTGGGCGAAAACACGCGCACACACACACACACATACACACGCACACACACCGAGACGAGACGTGCACGCATTACCTTGTGTCCTGGCTGCAGATATTGCCTCGCGAGGAACAGCTATAATATAAAAGGTTGATGTTCTGTCTGCCTCCAGTCGGACCACCGCTTCCGGGTCGCTTTGTTCACTTCTGGGTGCTGCTGCGAGGCTCGCACACAGCGGCTACAGAAAGGAAATCTGCTAATGTTGCTTTGGATATTTGTGTGTGTGTGTGTGTGTGTTTTTTTTTCTCTCCTTTTTTTTTTTTTTTTTTTTGAACCTCAAACTTCACCTTGTGCATGTTTTACTGTGCAGGTGAATAGCGGCGTACTCATCCACGTACGCACTGCAATATCCCCGGACGCTTCAACATGGAGCACTCCATGACAGCAAAACGTACGGCGTGCTCGATTGTGCTCCCGTGAAATAGGGATTTCACATTCGCAAGTGAATTTTGCACAGCGCCTCGCGATCAGAGGACAGGACGGCCTCGGGAGAAAGTGGTGGGAACTTCAAAATGAGCCACAATAATAATATAGCTCGAGATTTCGCTGCGCTTCTTTAAAAATAATTTAGAAATAAATAAATAAATAAAAATTAGAAAAGACATTAAAACAAGTACAATATTACTGCAAATGCAAAGTAATGTTCAGTTTAATTCGTGCTTCAAGAGTAAAAAAAATAAAAGGAGAATTCATTGGGGGAGTTTCGGGGAAGTTGCATCTGAAATTTAGAGGAGTATCTAGGCCATGCCGGATGTGGAAGAGAAACAGTTTGAACAGAGATGTCCTACTTGGGGCCATTTACAGCCCTGGGATTGGATTTGTGCTAATTACTTTGTGATTTCATTTTCAACCACATAATGCAGTTTTACACATTTTGGCATGTTAGAAATGCAAACTTGTTGTCTGTTGTGATAAGACGGCACAATTTATCTTGAGGACGAAAGGTAAATGATACATGGTTTAAAAACTATTTTCAAACTCCATTGCTCTGATTCCCATGTGTTAAAATCCATTCAAAATTGCCGTCAGCAGTAAACAGTTAGTAAATGGAGTCCCCGCATTTGTAACTTAATTTGACAAAAGTTGGTCTATGAGGTTTTCTGAGAGAACATTTGAAGTTGTTCAATCCCTAATTTGGAAATGAGTTTGAAAAATTGCAAAACGCCACCGATCCACAGCAGTCCGCTTCACGAAAGCATGTAGCCAAAAGGCTTGTGGTAACTCTGGAGGAGCTGCAGAGATCCAGAGCTCAGTTTGGGAGAATTTGTCATAAGGAGAAGTTTGTTTCAACACGCAAATCTGCAAAATGTTTTTTTTTTTTTTTTTTTTTTTCACAAGGCACGTCAGGCATACAGCAAAACGGTAGAAGAGGGTTTTCTGCTGAGACCAAAAGAGAACTTTATGACTTACGCATGTCAGAAAATTAACACTTACACCTCATGTCATCAGTGCTGTACGGATAATTTTCTTCTGCAGCGACAGGGACTTTGGTCAGTGATGATAGGAAGATGGATGGAGATGAAGAGAGATGAGATGATGGAGAGTGCAGGCCTGGAAGAAATCCTCCTAGAACAAGGGTGAGTACTCGAGGTCCGGTCTCCTGCAACTTTTAGTTGTATCTCTACTTCAACACACCTGAGTCAAATAATGAGGTCAATAGCAGGACTCTGGAGAACTTGACTTGCATTTAGGACATGATTCAGCTATTGGATTCAGGTGCGTTGGACCAGGGAGACAACCAAGAGTTGCATGACTCTGGCCCTCGAGGACCAGGAGTGCCTACCCCTGTCCTAGAAGCTGCAAAAGATTTGAAAAACTGGGGCCGAGGGTAATATTTGAGGAGGACAACATTAAACAGAGCTTCAGCAAAATGACATAAACCACAGTTTCTTCAAGCACTAAAACGGCCCAGTCAAAGTCCAGACAACTGAGAACCTGAGAAAATACTATAAAATTAATCTGGATTGAAGAGGTTAGGTTTTAGTTTGTAAAAAACATTAATTTTTTTAAAAAAAACCTTAAATTATGCCTTATTTTGCAATGGTCTGTAATGTAAAATCCCCCCCAAAATTAACTGAAGGTTCTGATTTTAACTTGACAAAATGTGAAAAAGTTTTCCAAGAATGAATATCTTACAATACTTTCATGTAATTTGTATTACAGTGTTCTGAAACTAAGGTAAGATCGTTCTGTTTGCATTTGCGCCACTGTTTGCATTTGCGCCACTATAAGGAATCTTAGTTTTGAACGAGCTTCTTTTGATTCTCACAATGAGCCCTCTTTAAAATACTTTTATTCTTCTTGGTTGGAGTCCAACAAACAGATTTACACCACAGTTGCTGAAGTTGTAGCGTGTCATTCCTCCCTTTGCACTTCAACCAACCTCTGCTACCCACTGCGTATCTTTCACACATTATTCCTGCATATGTCAGCAATTAAGGATTCACTGGAACTGTGAGAAGCCACTGGTTGGAGGAAGCGGCGTGTTGCTGCTCTGAACGCTGTTGTGTGTGCGTGTGTACACGCGTGTGTGTGTCTGTGTGCAAGTGGGGAGGAGGGGGAGAGGAGGTGAGTGATCTCATTACGTTTCCTGTTTTTTCACACCACTTCTCTCCAAAGAAGTGACAGCCCTTACACACCAATATGCAACAACGCTCAACAGTCCGGCTTTAGCAGTCTGTTGGAGTCAGATTAAGGTAATCTGATGAGCTACAGTCAGAATGCCTCATCCTGTCAGTCGACTCGGTGGGACCAACACACAGTGACGACTGGATAACTTTTTAATTTATTTATTATTTTCATTTGGTAAGAAAAAAAACAAAACAGCTTTCTTAGACTCTGGGCTTCTGACATGGACATTGTGTGGGTAAGTAATCCAGACTTTGAATTATTTGGATCGTTTGTTGGTTTGATAAGAAGGATGATTTTATTTAAGTTTTGTGCTTGGTTGTCTTTGCAGAGTTTTAGGAAGTGCGATAAGTGTTCTTGAACAATAATGAATCACAAGATAGCGTGAAATGCACTGATGTGGCTTGGTTTTGAGTTCGGGTTAAAAAGAAGTGTGAAAAGTTCAGTGCTTACTATTATTTTCAAGATGGTGTGGTTTAATCTGGCATGTTAGACTGAATGTAGTTGAGCTAGGTGCTGAGTTTCGCTTATAGAATCTAGGTCAGTGTTTCCACTTTTTCACTGAATAAAAATCACAGTAGTGGAGATTTTTACAGCCCAACTATAGCAACCATTGAAAGTTATAACTCAAACAGTCCTGACCTTTTTGTTGGTAGATTTTGCTATTTATATTAACTGTCCTTTGTGACAGGTTTTCCATAAATATGTCTTTAGAAGTCCTTTTATGATTAATTGGATGTTAGAATATCCTATGAAGTTAACACTGTTCTGATTCTTTCATTGGACAGCTCACACTTCTCACATTTTGTCATGAAGTGTGAGACGTATTTTGAGGGCAGTGATCTGAAATGTGCGTCTCCAGAGGAACATTTGACTCTTTGGAGTGTTTTAATGTACCACCCTCTCCAGTTTGGTTATTGATAACATTTAGCCCAAAACTGTTTACGTCGTTGACCGATGTAGAGGTAACATATTTTTCATTTAACCAAGAATTTAGTTTGAGATGATAAATGAATGATAAAAATATGTACAAAAATGAGATGGGAGTACAACTTAAAAGAGGAAAAAACAAATTTGTTTGACATTGTGTCAGAAATGGAAAATTAAAAATGATTTATTCCCTTTTCATTAATCAATTAAATAAACCCTGATTTTCAATCTACCATATTAATTTGTTATTTATGTTTTATTCATGTATCTATTGTTGTTATTTTTGTTATTGTCTTTTTAACAGTCGAATGATTGAGTAATTGAATAACTGAGTTAAGTTACCTTCAAGTTAAGTTTTTCTCAGACCCTACTCCTGGTCTCCGTCCTGTGGGTCTGGTACCAGAATAGAACTAAACACTGGTGTTTGGTATAAAAAACTAATACAAATATATTTAGTAGATTTTATAGGGATTGTTTTAAACAATACCTGGGCTAACTTTCCAAAACAGAATGGCACAAATAGGAAAGAAAACATTTTTTTGTGTGTGTGTTATTTTTCAGTCAAGCTACTGACTGCTTTTTGTTTTTCTCCATGTTCAATAGAGAATGTATTCATTCTCTTAAAAGTTTATGATATTTATTTTTTAACCAAAGCACAAAAAACACCATGGCTCTTCATAGAACAATTTTAAATATAAAGAAGATGGCAAGCCATGATCAGCTGAATGCAGGCTGGCTACCACAGCAGAGAGCACGACTAATTATCCAGCTGAAATGAACTTTTATCAAGTTCACAGGCTCCCACACTTTCTCTATTGAGAGACGACATACATATTTAAAGGTTTTATTAGCGCTGGTGGCCTTTATTTGATAGGGAATTGACAGGAAGGAGGATAATGAAGAGAGGGGGAAGACATGCGACAAAGGTCATCAAGCTACGACTCGAAACTGTGACGTCCGCGGCAAACACTACGGCCTCCATACGTGGGTTGTGCTTCACCCTGCACCACACAGCTGTGCAACAATTACCTAAAAAACTAAAGTTTAAGATAAGAAAGCATGAACTGCTATTTTTACGTGCCGTTTTCACACTGTGAGAATCACATCCTCAAACGCTGCACTACCTAATTGTTTCCTCGGCAGCATGAAGTCAAGCAAGATGTTGGTTCGGGTCGCTATTAAATTATGCGTGTATTTGTGTAGATAGCAGTAGAGGTTAATTAGGCAGCAGGAGACCACAGAGGGGTGTTTTAAAGTGTGCAGTGAAGACTCTTTGTTTAGAAATGCTTCCAGAAACTGACTGGGGAGTTCTGCTGATGTTTCAGTAAATCATTAGCGAATGAGCTCATCTTCAATAATCACAACCCACAGGTACTGATTCCACTTGCTGCCCGCAGGCTCAGCTCCTTGCCTCTTTGTGAAGTCTCTTTCGTGTCGGCCCAAAAACTGCCTTAAGACAACGCTTGCTTCTTTTTACTCGTCTAGGATACAATGGCCCTGTACTATAGAGCTACATGTTTTGTTTCTGTGGGACTTGTCGACTGGCACTGTCTGCAGGAAGTTATCTGAGTGCTTGGTGGCTTTTACACCACCTCCAGAAATTACACAAACCTACTGTGATAAAAGTGCCTCACAGTGATGGACATCATGATATAAAAATCTCAGTCGCAGTTAAAAAACATAATTAAATCAAGTCATTGTTTTTTTAAATTTATTTATTTTTAATCTTTAACATGTTTCTCCTGACTGGAAGCAAAATAAAAAATTTGGAGCATCCGAGTCAGAGTCCCGAAGCTGGTAGACGATCTTATGGTGACCCGGAGGTCATCAGTCATCAGATATAAGTGAAAACATTTGGTTTTGACTGAATTGGAAACAATAAAAGTGGATTTTAATGTATTTATCTGGATTTCTTGGTCATCATAAATCCCTGTGCGTGATCTTCCTAATTTCCTCAGGCTCAATGATGTAATACATCAACAGAATTTGTGTTTGAGTCAACGTTGCTTATGAGAAAAAGTCAACCCTGAAATCTCACATTCAATTTTGTTTCAGGTTGTTTCACTGATACTTGCCTTCATGTCCACCAGAGTGAGTCTCCTTGAGGCGTCAAGGCAAGACTCAAGCTGCTCACCTGGTAGGTTGTTCCAGCGAAATGCAACACCAGCCTTCTGTATACAAGTTACCAGTCTGTACAAGTTCAGCTAACATTTCTTCTGCTTCTTTTGGTGTGTTCTCAGGACATTATAAATCTGATAAAGATCATTCCTGCAAGCCATGTCAGCGGGGCACCTATGCAGACAGAAACAATTCTCTTTCCTGGTGTCAACAGTGCAGTAATTGTCATAGTAAGTATATTCAGACATACAGGAAAACGTATAAAATGTAAGAATATTTTAAATGCATCAGATGGAAAGTATCTTCAATAAAGAGCATTTAATGTCGACTATATAAAGAAAAACCTATTTTTTTCTGACGGAGTGGGAGTTAAAAAACAGTGCACACCCACAAGCGACACAGTGTGCGACTGCTCTTGTGGACACTACTCAAAGGACGGCTCCTGCGAAATATGCCCCAAAAACAGTGAGTAAAGCCAGAACAAATGTTCAGGGCCCCTTCCATTTGATTAAAATCACCTCTTCTAAATAAAACAAACAAAAAAACCAGAACCAAATCAGAAAAAAAAAAAGTCTAATCTTATATTTTTCAGTTCCCAACGACGACGTCAATAAAGATTATTATGACATGTGCCAAAGGTAAGAGATGCTGCATTTGGGAACACTCAGACATTTATCAGACATGGTGGCATTTATCTTAGTTGTCCATTTATCTTCTGCTTGTTAACAGCCTTTGGCCAATCAGAAAATAGGAGAACAAAAAGACATGCAATTTCTTTAAATGTCATGCAATTGCTTTGTCATGACAGCCCTAAAAAATTAAGTGTATATATATATATATATATATATATAGATCTATATATATATAGATATATATATATAGATCTATATATATATATATATATATATATATATATATATAGATCTATATATATATAGATATATATATATATAGCTCATCTCTTTGAGGACAACCAGTTTCTGTGGTTTTTTGCTGAAGCCCTGCGGTGCCTGGGTTGTACACCGTTTACTGCAGATGTCTCGGTGTGCAGGGCGCTCTGATAAAATTGATAAGGATTCACACTCAAGAAAACTATTCTAACACCGTTTACTTCAAACAGCGTTAGAATAGACACAGAATAGACATAGCTTTAAAAATAAAATGTCAAACATGACAGCATCGTGCCTTTGCACAGGTGATTTTATGTTACTGTCAAAAACGTTTCCTTTTGCTGACACTAAGGCTTCAAATGTTTGAATTGATTAAATCTTCTTCTATATGTTTTTTTTTTTACTTTCCTTAGTGGGAAGCAATTAGAAAGTCGAAGACAGAGCTTAATACTAGTATTTAATTAATGCTGGAAGAGATTCAGCATATATATGGGAATATATGGGATATACATATATATAATATGGGAACATATGTGACACTGCTGTTAAACCTGAACTTCCTCCTCTGTGGAATAAATCAATAAAAACTAATTTTATTTCTATTTTAGCAATCTCTGTTCGAAGAACCCAGGATTCAAGACAAGTCCCCACTTACCTCCAACTGAATCTCAAGCGGGGAAATTAGGTGAACACTCCAGAAACATCTATTATTTTCTGCATATCTTCAGAAATTATTTTAATGTTCAACTTAAAACCATTAGGAGTTTTTTTTTCCTATTGGAAAGGAAGTTTTTCTGCATGTTTAAGTGAGGTTCATGTGAGAGTTTTAAAGCCCTTTCTTCAGGAACACATGCTGTATTTTTATGACACTGCACCTTTTCGTCTTTTTGCACTATGATTGCAATTCTGTGTCTCTCTTTTTCTCGTTAAAGCTTTGACTACTGCTTCTACTACTTCACCGACAGGAAGACCGACTCTTTTCACCACACTGAAAGCATCAAGTCCAAGTGTGGAGAAAGTGCCAAATCATTGTTAGTTACAACTATGTATTTCAACCATAAATTTCATTATGTCTGAGCTTAATTTGTAGTTTTAATGAGATTTCTACATCCTGTAGATTAAAGAACTCATGCCAGTGTTTTGTTTTGTTTTGTTCTTTTTCCAGCCTGGCTTCTTTCGATTGTGGGGCTTGCTACATCTCTGCTGCTGTTTTGCTTCCTGCTGCTCTTCTGCAGGAACCTGCTCAGAGAGGAAGCTGTTCTTCCATGTTGGAACAAAGAAAAAAACCTGCAAAGACTTCCTCAGGAACCAAAATTGGACGGTAACCACACAGCGGTTCTAACTCAACAAGTTGAATCAAACGCAGCAACAACGTGACAATTTCACTATTTATCCCCTGACGTTGTATGACAACTTAATTCTAACATCGCTTTGATGAGCCATAACTTTCTTCCTTTTCTATTTGGACTTGAATCTCAATGTTCCAAAAACCTAGAATTTTTCTTTAAAAAGTGTGAAAAAAAGGAGAAGAAAACAAGGCAGCTAAGAACATGTCAGACGTTTTCTAAGTGTGACGCTTTGAGTAAACACACAAAACTCAAACATCCGTTGATAACATAGTGAGCGCCTCTAAAAAAGAGTGACAACAAAGTCTCCAGTTTCGGTGAGAGTTCAGAAAACCAATATTGAAATGAGTAATTTATTCATCAAGGATGAGCCATCCAGAGATTTGTGGGCTCAGTTTTTTTTTTTTTTTTACACATAAACAGTTTCACTTGTGAGGGTGAAGCATCAGAACGTTCCTCACAGAACAATGTCTGCCATCCCACTCTAACTCTGAAGGCCTGTGTACATTTGCTTTTCCCACAGCATCAAACATTAAACATCTTCTCGAGTTGAATCTGCACAGAAGTTAAAATTCTTACATGCAGTTAGACTTCATCTTAAACAATGCTGCACTTCAGACTAAACAGATGAACTGCCTTCTTTCAGAAAAATAAAATAAAAACTTGGCCAACTTTGATTGTATGTGCCATGAAAATCTGTGACTTATCTGGGGCTAAAATGTCATAGTTGCAATGGAAATGTCAAAACATCCATCCCCTCCCATTTAGCTTGCCTGTTTTATAAATAATAATACATCATTTTATAATTCTGAACAAATACTTAAAAATACTAAGCAATAACAAAAAGAAGAATGAGACTTCAGACACTGGTAGCATGATTTCTTGTTTTTAATACATTTAAAAAAAAGAAATATATCTAGATATATGCAGGAAACTAACTGATATCATCTGCTTTTCTCCTTACAGAACAACGTAGTCATCACTGCAGCAGCCCGACCACACAGGTTTGTGCTCTCTCCCATGATCTTTATCCTCTGTTCACAGAACAGTGCAACACATACAGTTGCAGCACTGTAGGTGGAGGAAGACTGATCTTCAAACCACTTGCTCACACGCATACGCAGCCACGCACTCAGAAAGGTCAAACGAAACAAAAGCGACATGCCGATAAGCATCTCTCTGCTGTAGTTACCAAACATTTGCGAGAAAGGCCAAAGATAATTTGCCTGCATTGAAAAATTACAGAGAAATTTTGCTGTTCGTAGAGAACGCCGGGGGAGTTGTGCCTTACCCGTCGCTCTTTGTTCTTTCCAGACATTTACGGTTTTTGAGGAAACTCCCATGATGCCGCTCTGTCAGGAGCCACCTGCTCACATCGGCGGCCACCTGTGGCACAGTCTTCACACGGGTAAGGTTCAACATTTGGTTCCCAACACCAATTCACTTCTTCTGACCACTTTGTGAAAATTACACGTACGACAAACATCCTCCCATCAAGCTTCAAAAGGAGCCCCTCAAAACCAGCTCCAATTTCAGCATTCCTACTCAAGTAGATTTTGGAGAATTTAATTAAAGTAGAGCAAGTAGAAGAATATGACCTCAGGTTAATGGAAATCAGCCTAAAGCTGAAGTTGGTGACGATACATGCTGTAGCGCCGACCAAATAACCTGGACATCGGGGAGAGATTTTAGTGTCCAGAAGACCAGAGGGAAGCTGGTTTACTTTCTGTTTGTTTTACTAATGAAAACAACAATTAAGTTCAGATGACACCCACCAGCCATCAGGCGTCATCTCATGACATGTGTCTCTGTTACTATGAGGGTTTTAACCACCAAAAAATGCTAAATGAGTCACAGAATAACATAAAAGCAACATCTAAAAGAAGGGAAGCCACATACGGAAGTCAGCCCCCTTTCAGTTTCACTCACTATGAAGCCGGCCACATCATTATGGTGATCCTAAGTTACCTAAGTCACTTTCTCCTTGAAGAACTAAAGAGAGTTTCTCCAAAACAGATCGACCGAAACCTTTCAGGAGGGATTTTGAAACTGTTTTAACATGTACTGAAACAAGAGCTGCCCATTTAGGATGCAGCAGAAAAGGAAAGTAACTACGCCTTTAAAGCCTTGTAAAGCATTCTGACCCCTTTAATTCATTTATTATTATTATTATTATTATTATTATTATTATTATTATTATTATTATTATTATTATTATTATTATTATTATTATTATTATTGGCTACATTTTGTTAAATAGCAGCCACAAACTTCAATGTATTTTACTGGGATTGTACTTGATAGATCAGTTTTAAAATAGTGCATAGCAGTGGGATGAAAATTACACTTTTTTTTCTCCTCAAAGTTTCGCATGGCTTTGTATTTAGCTCCCCTGAATCAATGCTGTACAGAACCACATTTTGCTGCAGCTGCACATTTTTGAGGAGTGTCTCTCGCAAGTTTGCAGATTTAGAGAACAGTGTTTTCTTTTTTGTTGCTGTTTCCCCCCCCCCCCCCCCCCCCCCCGTCTTCTTTGTCTTTACAAAATTCCTCTAACTCATCTAAATTGGAAGGAAACGAATGAAAATGAAGACAGAAATGAGCTCTGGCTTATGTTTATGGTTGTTACTGGAGCTGAAATCCAGGGCAGCCTTCGACAGCTTTTCTCCTGTTGGTAGTCCCATCTTTTTCCCTGTCAACTCTCGCTGGCCAAGCTGAAGGAACTCATCCTGACAGCACATTGACGCAACCAAGTTTCACCGTGGGCCTGCTGTGGTCAGGGTGACGCGCATTCTGAGTTTTCCGCCACATGGTTTTACGTAGGTAGGGAAAAAAAGTTCAATGTCACACCAGTTTTCGCCAGAGGACTTTCTTCCACATGCACAAGAAATGGTTTTTGTAGCTTCACTTTGATTTAATTTTCTTGTCTAAATCTCCCTGACCTGTTCTGTAGTGTTCTCCAGTAAACCTCTAAGGCCCTTTGAGAGACTCGGCGCCTGAATTAAACTCCGGTTAACTGTGTTTAATAAATGTGGGGCTTCTGAAGGACTGAAAATGGGTCTGAACAGAAGTGGGTGCCTTACTTTTGAGATTAAAGCTGCTTACTGAGTCAAGAGACTGGATGATTCATAGGTCAGAGTTAGGACAAACAACAAAACAACTGTAGAAAAAAGAAAATCAAACAGTTAAAAGTGCATACAACATCCAGATTATAGCAATAAATCAGGACAAAATCTCCTAACTTGAAGACAAAATGAAAAGAAATCAGGAATTACTTCACACTGTTCCAGCTGCAGCTCTTTTGAAATATCATGCCTCATGGTTTTATTAATATTTTGCATGAACTCATGAAGATTTTACTGTTGTGACCAAAGATAATTTAACCATTTTATCTGGCCGGATGAAAGTCACCTTCGCAGGTTAGTAGCAGGTGTGATGTATGTGAGATCGAGCATCTGGCAGTGCTCTGCAGCGTCTTATCGTTTTCATGCACGATCTCGACGTTTGGTCCTCTCACATTTTCGAATGTGCTTGCTCAACACGCAGTTTATCTGTTATCAGTCATTCGCTGTTTAAGTGGAAAGGAGGAAACGGGACGCCCTCTCTCTGGCCTGTCAGTCAAGAATTGAGGGTAAAGGGAAATCAGATAATCGTTGCATATCTTCGTTTCACATGCTTGCTAAACACCAGCTCAGGCACTCAGTTTATCAGGTTAGGTTTTTTTGTTGTAGTTGTTTTTTTCCTGTATGAAATTAACCTTGGGCTGTATGACATCACAGAATAAGCTATAAAGAATTGGCTAATATGACAAACATCCTCCCATCAAGCTTCAAAAGGAGCCCCTTTCAATACCAGCTCCAATTTCAGCATTCCTACTCAAGTAGATTTTGGAGAATTTAATTAAAGTAGAGCAAGTAGAAGAATATGACCTCAGGTTAAAGCTGAAGTTGGTGACGATGCAAAGTGAAAACTTTCAAAACCTCTTCTCCACCCCCCCCAGATGCAAGGCGATATGAGCACTGTGACCGCTGGCCGGCCATCGTGCTCTACGCGATCATCAAGGAAGTGCCTATACGCAGATGGAAGGAGTTCCTCCGACTGCTGTCCGTGCCCGACCAGCAGATGGAGCGCGTGGAGATGGAGGCCGGCCTCGGGTCCATGGAGAAGCAGTACCAGATGCTGAGGCTGTATAGCCAGCGCTCCTCGGCGAGCCTGGATGAAGTTTACTCCTCTCTGCACCTCATGGAGCTGTCGGGCTGCGTCCAGCAGCTGCAGGAGAACCTGGAGAGGCTGCAGTGGAGGTGCGACGCGAGGCAGGCGCTCACAGCCTGACGAGGCTGCAGATCATCAGCAGCTGCAGCGTCGGGAATTTTTCCTGATGCCTGCAGCTTTAAACGCAAAGAGTGCAAAGCCGCCTGTGATACAGACGGGATAGGAAATATCAATTCTCAGTTTGTGCCCGGGTGTTCGTGAACACTGGCGACTAAAGTTTAACACCAACAGACTACTGCAACGGCAGCATGCATTTCTTGAATTGTGGAGGTGAATAGCATCACAGAGAGCAGTGTGATTTCTTTATAGGCTTGCCCACAACATGTATTTTTTTGTACTGTCTAACCAAAGATATTCAATGTGCACACTGGATGCAGGTTTGATCCAGAACAGTCACTCAGAGATCACATGAGGAAGACTTCATCATGTGAATGAAGGCACCAACGGTAGCAATTCTCAGAAGCACTTTCTGTTTCTTTAGGGTTAGGGTTCTCCAACCTAGTTGAAAAAAAAAAGTTATGAAAACAAGGGAAATGACTGTCAATTGTTACCTTCTGTCTTGAAACCTCCAAGAAAACACCACTCTACCTCTTTTTCTCTCATGTGGGCATCGTTTATAGTTCAACAGTTGAGAGTCGCGGTTTTGCAGCGGTGCTCTGACGTTTAAATATGAGTAAGACTCGCATCGTGTTTGCACTTCCTGTGTTTGTTTAGCTCCGGGAGTTGACCCTCCGGTTTGATCTGTTTCTATTCGACTAGTTAAATAAAGACTGTACTGAATGGAGACTTTTAAGTACATCTGTGATGTTAGAGCAGGCCAGCTGTCGATATTCTCCTTCGGCATAAAAGTCTGACTGTACAGCTCAGCCACTGACTCTGATTCTGGTTGCTCACCTTCCAAGAAGGAGACGACTGAAATCCCCAAAAGGACGTCAGATTTTCAGTTTCCTGCAAGCAAAACGGTGTCAGTGTGCAGCAGGCTGGGTTTTTCCTCACCACACTTATTCCATTCAAAATTGGCTTGTGGTGTTTGAGTATCTCACTTTGAGTTTTTTTTGTTTTTGTGTGTGTTTGTCAGTTCACTGACAGGAAAGGACTTGGACTTTCCAGTTTTTAGGAGGTTAATAACAAGTATTTGTGTTTGATCTTGAAACCTATCATTTGTGTTGTAGATATTCCTTCTCTTAATTTTATGAAACTATTTATGAATGTTATCTGAAGTGTTTTTTTCTTTGTATTTAAATGCTCACTGGTCTTGTTGATAGATTTACATAACAAAGCGGTACTATAATATACCATGTCCACATGGTTACGTGTGATATGTAAAGAATAAAAAAAAAAGTTGAAGCCAAGCTTGGTGTGTGGAGTGAGTACACTTGGATTGCTGCAGCTTTGTGGACTAATAGGTCCCTGTCAAAAGAATTTGGGCAGGAATTTGGAAGGGCTTTTATTTTTCTAGTTAAATCTCATGAATTGCAAATTATCCCTCAGTATGAGTAACAGCTGCACTACAGTCTTTATATGCTTTACACACAATGTGGTATATATTAAAACATTAATATGGAGCTAGAGGAAAAAAAGTTACCCAAAAAAATAGTTTTCAATTGAACATATCTGACATCATCACCTTTTTGAGAACATACTGCTGATCTGGAAATCACATGCAAGATTGTCACACTCAGTTTAAAAAAAAAAAAAAAAATAAAAAATCCGCCTGGTTATCATGGCAAAGAAATGTGTTTTGTTCAGAACATTAAGCATAAATCATTTTTGGTAGGCTGAGTTTTTCTAGCCAAGACGTAATATGTCGCTAAAACAGAAAGTGGGCTGAAAACACGTCATGTTTCGATGGAAAGAAATTTGTGAAACAATCAGAAACACTCGTTTATGATTATTGTAGACAGAAGTCTACAATAGTCATTGTAGACTTCTGCGAGGAGACAGAAACATGGTTGTTTCTAACCATGTGGGACGTCAGTGATCCAGAGTGAGAAGAAAGAAGAAGAAAGCCGAACAGTGGAGAAACGTTTCCATGAGTGGCCAGTCGATTAAAATTACCCAGAGTCTTCATACCCAGAGGGATGAAGACTCAACCAGGAGAAAACAAAAGAACAATTATCATAGTGTGATTGTCTGGGACAGCTTCACTGCCACGAGGAATTGAAGCCATAATTTCTGCTCTCCTGCTAAAATCTTGAGAGCTGACAATTTCAACCTGGAGTTAGAATGCATTTGGACTACGCAGTTATGCAGTTTGTCAACGCACGCCAGTAAATCCACCTCTGAATGATTCAGAACAGAAAAACAGAAAGAAAGAAGGAAAAAATGAATTATTTTAGAGTAGCCTTAAATGTAGGACTTTAAGATTGATTTAAGATGATGTTACATGACCCCTCAGTGTTTCTGAATTATTCTGATGCCAGAGGTCATAAAATGGGTTCAACATACTTAAACACTGATGCCAAACACAAAATGCATGTTATCTACATTTTCTGCAATAAGGCAACTGATGAGCTTTTAGTTTATGTTTTGTTTTCTCTGCAACTCTCTGCCTGCTTTTGCACCAGCTTCAGCTCCAGTCCACTCGCGAAACCCTCGGCCTATCACAGTCTGAGAGCGGGCGTCTGGTTTCCACTGGCAACCGCGAGCCGAGCTCCTGAGAATCGGCTGCAGAGCGGAGAGCTGGTTCCGACAAGAAAGAGGAGACAAAGCGAGGAGACAAAGCGAGGAGACAAAGCGAGGAGTCAAAGCGAGGAGACAAAGCGAGGAGTCAAAGCGAGGAGACAAAGCGAGGAGACAAAGCGAGGAGTCAAAGCGCCGACATGCGAAGCTGATCGCGGTCAGTTCATTTCTGACTAATTGTTAAATCTCCGGAAAATAAACTCAGGAGTCCCTGTTGTTCGGACGCACTCGCGTTGTCGTGGCAACCACGCACCCACAGCGGTTCGGTTTCAGAGGTGAGGCCCGGGTTGTCTGCACGCGGGTTGTTTACCACGTGGAAAGAGAAAAAAACACAACAAAATAAATCAAAACGAGGCTGAGGCTGACTCAGAGGTGGGTTGGTGGTTTTGCTCACTGTGAAAGTGCAAACTTTTGTTGGCTTTTGGTGGCGCAACTAAAATGCCATTAGAGGGTTCGTATAAGAACCCACACGGGGGCGCTATAAGATGTTTTTTCTTTTTTCTTTTAGTTAGATTAGAGGCAGACTTTTTCCTTTGTGATTTCAGCCTAATTTTTAAATCAATTAAAAAGACTTTATTGATCTCAAAGAAAAATTACATTCTGTTGTAACTCATATTATCCATGGTTCTTCAGAACCATGGATAATATGAATAGGATGTTCAGGATTTATTCAGACTTCTCAGAGTAGATGGGCTTGAATGTGCAACAGTTCAAAAGCGGTGCTGTACTCTTGTAATTGATCCTTGGTGAAGTTCTAAAACTGCACTATTAAAAGTAGACTCTTTCTCCCCTTTCGCAGTGGGATTTCACAGGACTTTGCTGTATGACAGCTGAAGAGAGGAAATAAGAGAAAGGGACTGACATCTGAGCATGAGTGCTTTGGTTTGTCCTCGAGTCGATGTTTCGGAGCTGTGTGCAGACGGAGACAGGTTCCTTCAGAGCGGAAACCCGGGGAAGGCCACGACGCTGTACATGTCTGCCTTCAGGACTCATGCCACCTCTGCTGTATCCCACATGAGAAAACTGGAAAGGTGCGGTCTGGTTAAGGTCATCTCCACTCTAGAAGGCTTGCTGGACGGTCATGGGGCCAATCAGTCAGCCGAGGGCATCAATAAGGGCCTGGCGGCGGTTTTCCTGTCAACGCTGTGCCCCAACAATTTGTCTGCCACCATTTTTAAAATGGAGTCCCTCCTCCAGAGTGGCGGGCTTGGCAGCGAGGAGATTTTTGCACGTTGCACAGCTCTGCTCGAAGGCAAACGTAATCTTCATCTGGAAGGTTCGACTCAGGTGTTGCTGGAGATAACGCGAGCGCTGGCCTGCCTCTTTTCACAGCCCCACCGTTCGAAGGGACCACAGCTTTACCTAGCGGCTTATCGGCACAACAAATTAGAAACAGCCTCACTGGTCCGTAGGAGACAAGCAGCACACCTGCCCAAAATAGTAAAAGCCTTCAAAGACCAAATAATACCTGTATGTCCCTATTTTGCATTAGATAGCAAGAGGTCAGCGACCCCAATGGAGAAGAATGCAGTAAATGTAGAGGTTACTTCTATCGCTGTTGAGTTTTTAATGGCCATTTCCCCTGATGACAGAGAAATACAGGAACTTCAAGCAGCAGATTTGTTCTTGATGGGCAGGTTTGTGGAAAGTGCAGAGATCTACACTTCTCTGTTACACCAGCAATTGTCACCACAGCCTGCAGACGGATTACCCGAGGATGGTCCAGAGAGGAAAGCCAGACTCTTAACCTGCCGAGCGGCTGCTTGTCTTTCAGTAGGTGGTAAAACGGCAGAGGAGTGCACAGATCTGGGAGAGGCGTTTGAGCTCCACCCTGCCACTGCCAGAACCTACTTCAAAAAGCTCTTCACCGATTACGGGACGGGGGCGGCAGCTCGCCACCATCTGCGTCACCAGGCTGAGAGGGGTTTGTCTGGCTTCAGAGAGAGGGTCCTTATCCGCGCCGACCTAAGATCTACAGAGGGAGTAGAGCTTCTGGACCCTGTCATCACTTCCCTAAGGACTCTGTGCCATTTAGAGCCTAATGGAGGAGGCAGAGAGCTGCGGGTGAGACTGGCTGATTGTCTCCTCCTCAGAGGGGAGCACAAAGAGGCTCTGTCGATCTGCAGCCAACTAGCTGCTGCCCAAGAACAACAGAGCTACCAAAACACAGTCCAAGTTCTTTGTGGATACGCCCGGCTTCTTTCTGGGGACCACAAGGGGGCCTTAGAAGATTTTCAAGCTGTGTTAGAGCACAACACGCCGCACCCGTCCAGCTGCGTGCGGGCACTGTGTGGCAGGGGTCTGCTGCGCATGATGGCTGGGTCAAATTACCTCGCAGCTCTGGACTACATGACAGCCAGCAGGCTGCATCCCCAGGAAGCGGCTCTGACAGTCCGCTGCTTGGTGCCGTGGAACTTCAGGGGTCTGCTGTTTACAGTCCTGCTCGAGCAGGGCCGAGTCATGCTGGAGGGGTCCGCCAAGGACAAGTCCGAGTCCGGTTCAAGTGACGATCCACAGCCTCCCAAACACAAGGGGCAGCTTCAGGCACCATCAAAGAGAGAAAGCCACAGCGCAGGGTATGACATTTGCACCACTGACAGTGCGCCTGGTTCACATGCGTTTTGAGGAAGAAAAAGAGAAGCCCTAGATAAGGTTATGAATGTAAACATAGCAGGTCGAACCTTCTCGCAAAACATTTTTCATAATCACGTTTTTAGTGGGATGTCTTCATAGTTATGCTTCATCGTTGGTTGCTTTGCACACTAGAACTCCTGCCGGTGTCCATTCGCTGGCCGGGTTGCTCATGGACCTTCAGCCCCATGCTGACGGGCCTCACATCCTCACGGCGGATGCGTTGTACCAGCTTGGGCGAGTGGAGGAGGCCTACAGGTTACTGCTGTCTGTGGGTTCCCCCAATCCTCGGACTCCTTTCCTGGCTCGCCTCGCACTCCTGCAGCTCCACAGGGGCTTTCACTACGACACCAATCAGGTACCAAGGTTAGAGGGAGCAACATAATTGTTTCGTTGTTGGGCAAGGAAATTCAACTTTTATCAACCAAACTTGATTATCCTTTCATTTTGCCCGAGCAGCTTTCTGTCTCAAAAGAGTCATAAAATGGGGCCCCACAAGAAGTCATTTACACTCCTCTAATTAGATTCCCCATTTTGTAAGAAGTTGATCAAATCTGATTACTTGGCAGAAAAATGAGCTAAATCTCTTCCTGTTTCATTTCACCTTCCTACACCTCCACACGTCTCCAGATCAGCAGCAGGAGCGTGCAGACTCTCTGCAGGTTCTTAGTCAGTCCAGTCACCTGTAATTCTGTTTCTGGGAAGCTGTAAGGCCCTGGCTAAATATTTGAAGCTTGGTTGTTAATTTTGTCTATCGTCTCTAACTCCTGGCCATTCTAAATCTTGAGGGATGGGAGAGATTGCTGAGGGTGCCGTCCAACTCAAGTCCACCTCTAAATTCGACCCCGACGTTTATTTCTACGTTCGCTGTCTATGCTTTTCTTCTTCAGCTGCTCAAGAAGCTGCTTGCATGCGGGGAGACCAGCTGCCTGCGCAGTCTGCTGGCTGTGGCACAGGAGAAGGACCGAGCGCTGCTGCAGGGACACTGCCACGCAGCGGCTAAACGCATCCTGGACGCCTCGACAGAGGAGAGCTCCGTCAGGGAAGCTGTGGCGTACCTCTCTATTGCTATCATGGCCTCTGGTGATCAGCAGTAGTCCATTTGAATCAAAATCACGATTTGTTTTAAATTAGTGACATAAATTGACATTATTGAAAAATTGCCACTTTTTTTTTTTTTTTTTTTTTTTCTAGGCGGGGAGGCAGAAGATTCCCTGTTGGAAAGAGCGAGGTGTTACGTGTTACTGGGCCAGAGGAGGACGGCCATATTCGACTACAGTGCCATTTTGAAGGAGCATCAGAAACACGTTCAGGCTCTCTGTGGAAGGGGCTTCACGTACCTCATGCTCAATCAGCAGGAGGTATTTTTCGGCTGAAATAATGGCAAAGCTGCTCTTTTGTTAGGTCTGAACTTAGTTACCATTAAAACCTAAATTTGTGCAAAACCTTTTTTGCAGGGAACTGCAGGACTGACTGACATGATGGCACGAAATCATAAAATACACAGAATGTTTTTAGAACATTTTGACCTTCACTAACAGACTCTCCATGGTCAGAAAGTTATTTGTGGAACAAGTTAAATCAGAAATGGCAAAATGGTGAAAAACAAGGACCTAACAACTCGTTAATCAGTTGAGCAATTTTTTGGTTGACCAGACAACTATCTTAATGCTTGTAGAAAAATAACCCTGCTGTCAGATGTCC